ATTCGATGGGGGTTTCTTTCCCTCCCCCCCCCCCCCCCCCCCCCACCGGGTTACATGTGGTGGTCTATCCCAGTTGTTGTTTGTGTTTTTCACTTTATCATGTTACGGAAATTGCGTCTGCTTGCACTTGTGTGGCATGGACATTATGGGTGGGGGGGTTAATAAGCAAGGAATCGTGTCGTTGTTCACAGTTTATTTCGTAGAACCTCTCAGCTTTTGCGTTTTTACAGCGGCTCCAGCGCGCCCTGGCCGCTAATCTTTTGCACCACGGCGTTGCGCACCAACAGCTTGCCCTCTTTCAGCTGCGAGTAGTCGACCCAGTTGCCGTGGATCTGCGACTTGATGTGCAGGGGCAGCTGCACGACGGCGATGGGGTGCTCAAAGTCGCGCGTATCGAGTATGACAATATCGTTGCGGTTCGCGGCCTTGCGTTCAACCAGCGTCATGACCCAGCCATCGCCCTCGGCCGCGTCCTCGCTCCGGGGGATAAAAATGGGCTCCTGCGCCAACGAGTCGGGCCCCGCGTAAAAGTAGCGGATCTCCCCCGTCGAATACCGATGCATGGCGACGCCGTCGAGCCCATGCGCGTACATGGGCCCGTCGCTGTCCCGGCCCGACTCGGGCTCGGTGGGGCCATCCTTGGGTACGGACACGTTGAGAAAGAGGACGTCGTTGGCGCGCGTGTGGAGGCGCTCGTCGACGCGCGGGAACTCGCATGCACGGTCGACGAGGACCTCTGGGTCCGGGAGCCGGGTGCCCGTGGGTCTTGTAAGGTCGATGGACCAGCGCGCAAAGTCGAGCTTCGTGTCGGGCGCGGGCACGCGGCCGTCCTCGGCGGGGAACCAGGGGAACACGTTATCGGAGGCGCGCGTCGTCTGGACGTAGATGGTCCCGCCGTCGGGGCTCTCCCACCCGCCGCCGGTGTGGCCCAGCATCGCGTTGTCCCAGTGGTACACGCGGCTCTTCTCGTCGGGAGCCCAGCCGGGCGGGCGGGGCGTCGAGGCGCGACGCGGGACGACGATGAAGGTGGCGCCCTTGGAGTAGTCGTAAGCCCAGTGGTGGCCGCCCTTCTTCATGCGTTCGATGTTGGCCTCGAAGGGCCAGAGGACAAGGACGAGCCAGTTGGGCGTGATGGCGCAGTCGTGGATCAGCGCGACCCAGGGCGACTTGATCCACTGCTCGTCGCGCTTAACACCGTCGTTATCGAGCGTATAAATGACGATGTCGTCCGACGCCAGGCCCGTAGCCTCATACCCGAACACGACCAGCTCGTTGGTATAGGGGTCTACTTTGGGGTGGGCCGTGAAGGTTTTTGCGCGGACCTGGCCGAAGGGGTTATACCGGAGCGTATCAAGCGTGTCGGGGTCGACCTCATACGGCAGCCCTCCCTCCTTGAGCGCGAGCAGGCGGCCCGCCCAGAGGACGACGTTGGTGTTGGCTGTTGAGTCGACGGCGGCGCGGACGCAAGGGTGGTAGGTGTAAGGATTGCGGTACAGGCCGAAAAGGTGCCTGTTGGCGGCGCGCTCGAGCAGGTAGCGCTCCGTCTCGACGTAGCGCATTTTAAAGTCGACGCGGCCGTCGCGGAAGCGGAAGGCCGAAACGGTGCCGTCGCCGTCAATGGGCACGTTCTGCGGGTGCGGCGGCACGAGCGGGTCCGTCATAACGCGGTAAAAGGTGCCGTCGATCTCCTTGGGGATCTCGCCGTACACGACCAAGTCCTGGACTTCGCCCTCGATGCGGCACGGCAGGGCGGACCCACAAAGGTCGTACGCCAGGGGCCAGCGCGATTTGAGGTTTTCGAACTCCATTTCTGCTTGCTTTCTTTTTTGTATTCTTTTTTAGTTGTTTTTCTTTGCAGCTGATCGGGGAAGGTGAGTGAATGAACTGTTTACGGCCGTCAACAGCAACGCGAAGCCCCTTTATATAGATAACTTCGGTTATATAAAGCCAAACAGATTAAACCTTTTCATTACGACTAAAATGTTTAAGGCCAGCTCGGTGACGGGATCTTATTTCCGTCCGGCGTTAGGCACATAGCATAGACCCTAAAACGCGGCCTTTTTCGGGGAGTTGCTAGAGTCCGCCTGCAACCTGGGGCCTGCGGGGATCAGCAGCGGGGCCGTGTGCGGGATCAGCAGCGGGGCCGTGTGCGGGGTCGGCAGCGGGGCAGGGCCAAGGGTGCAAAGCGCGACATTCCACAAATAACCTCGGAGAAGCGTACCCGGCTAACCGAAGGACTATTCAATAGGACATCGTGGATTTAGTCCCTTTCCAAAAGATGAAAAAGCCCATGCGGCCTCCTCCTACTAAACCAAAGAGTGTTATGGCACGGCAGGCCCTATTGGGGGCGGTTACGTGACGACCGTTGGCCCGTGCACCACTTGGGGCACCGTGATTCTTTCCTGTTCTACAACCCTGTGGGCATATCGCGGCCTTGTCTCTGCCCAATACGGAAATCGTGATACCAGCCCCAATGCGATTGCGGTCTCTCCCTAGCCCACGAGCGACGACATCGTTAAACAGTGGCAGAATCAGGCGGAGCGTAAGCGACCAGCGGTCGGGGTCCCGGACTTTGGGAGCGTTCGGTCGCGCCCGCATCAAGGACCCGTTCCGTCGCCAAACCCCGAAAGCCGAAAAGGAGGTGGATATCAACCCGTCTCAGTTAGTAGGCTTAGAGCGCGAGTACGCCACGTTTCTAGGTTAAGCTTTAGGCCTGCGTTTCGGATAAAACACGATATGTGTACCTCGGGGTCCACGGCCTCCGAAAGCTTATTGGCTACAGGCGTTGGGATTCGAGCGAAAGCTTCCTACCTTCGTCGCTTGCTGTCGCTTGAGCTCGCCTGGGTCCAATTTTAAAAGGGTTAAAAACCTTCATCCCGCTGTCTTTTACGATCCGAAATTTTGAGCTGTGTTTAAAGCGAATAATTAAACGAAGCAAATCAAGACGAGAGCGCACGTTATGAAAGCGACCATGGCAAGCTTTGTCGGGGGCGGCGCAGCATGGCTGCAGGCCCCGTTGCTGGGCGGCCAGGCATTCCAGTTCGACCGCTCGACTATCGCGCTAGCCCTAATCGCCCTCGTCCTCGTGCCCGTCCTCGTGAGCTCGCGCCTCGGCGGCGGCGGCGGCGGCAAGGAAACCAAGGTCCCCATCGCGAACCCGCCAGGCCCCTTCGAGACGTGGGCCCAAAAGAAGCTCGAATCGGCGCACAAGGGCATGGAGATCCTGCGCCAGGCACGGACTCGGTTCGGGAACAAGCCCTACAAGATGATGACGCAGAGCGGGCCCGTTATAGTCCTGCCGCGGGAACTCGCCTCCGAAATACGGAACAACCCGAACCTAAGCTTCACCAGATTCGTGGAGGTGCGTTTTAATTACACGAGGGTGGATTTGCTCTGCCCATTCTCTCCCTCGCGCCCTTGATTCTCGTTCCGATTGGTATCCAGCGATTGGTTTAACACGACGTGGTGTGTACCAGGACTTTCCGACCCAGGACGCCTTCACCCCATTACACTTAATGGACCACCCTTCGGAACTCATCATGCTGGTTATCAAGAAGCACCTGACTAAGCGGTTAAGTACGGTGGCATCCGAGGCGTGCCTTTTGCAAGCATTATGTGAACCCTGTGGTGGTGAAGCTGACCGAGTTGCGTTTCTCCAGATACGGTTACGAAGCCGCTTGCACAGGAGGCCACGTTTGTGCTCGACCTCCTAATGGGAAACAAATCTGGTAGGAAAATAGAGGGGGAAAATCGCAATGCACAAAATCGTCCCCCTGCTATAACTCATTATTCCCAACAAGTTTCTCTTCTATGTGGCTTTAGCTGGTTAACTATCGAGAACTGAGCAGATTGGACCGAGGCGAACGCCACGACCCTCGCGCTCGACATCGTGACCCGGCTTTCGAACCGCATTTTCCTGGGGCCCGAGATGTGCCGCAACGAGGAGTGGCTGGACGTTAGCAAGAACTTCACCGCCTTGTTTACCCAGGCTGTCCAGCGGTTGAGCCCGCTGCCCCGGATGATCCAGAATATCGTTTACCTTTTCGACCCTAAGTGCCAGGACCTCAGGTCGCAGCGTAACCGCGGCCGCAGGATTATGCGGGGCCTGGTCGAGCAGCGCCGCCGGAGGCAGGCCGAGTGCCGGGCCAAGGGCCTGCCGCCGCCCACGTACAACGACTCGGTACAATGGCTCCAAATCGAGGCCGGCGTAACAGGCGTTACCAACTACGACCATTGCGACTTCCAGCTGCTCCTGTCCTTCCTCGCAATCCATACGACGAGCGACCTCCTGAGCCAGACCATGATTTACCTCGCGAAATACCCCGAAAGCATCGAGGAGCTGAGGCAGGAGATTCTCGAGGTGCTGCCGGTGGAGGGGTGGAATAAGACGTCGCTGCAGAAGCTCAAGCTGCTCGACAGCGCCGTTAAGGAGGCCCAGCGTTTCAAGCCACTTTTCACACGTAAGCTGCTGCCGCTTCCGCCTCCTCCTGTCCCTGTCGAACATTACCGAACTAACAATATTACAAAATAATTTAGTCGGCCTGATCCGCAAACCAACCGAAGATACCGTCCTCCCCAACGGCCTCGTCGTCCGCAAGGGGATCCGGCTGGTGATGGACACGGAGCACCTGATGGACCCGGAGCTGTACCCAGAGCCGGAGAAATTCAACATCCACCGGTTCGCCGACATGCGGCGGGAGCCCGGCGGCGAGTTCCGGGCGCCCCTGGCATCCGTGACGGCTGACAACCTGTCCTTCGGCCTGGGGAAACACGCCTGCCCCGGCCGCTTCTTCGCCGCAAACGAGATCAAGCTGGCTCTTTGCCACATGCTGCTCAAGTACGACTGGCGGTTGGCCGAGGGCACCTCGCTGGAGCCGTATTATTTCGGCACGCTGAACTCGGTCGACCCCATTTCGCGGCTGCTTTTTAAGCGAAGGAAGGAGGAAATCGACCTGGACGCGCTCGCCGTGGACGACGACGTGGAGGAGTGAAGCGGGCTCGTGCGTGGCAAAACGCCAGGCTTTAATTGTAAGCGAGCGAAGAGTTGGGCCTGCATACCTAGCGACGGATAAAACGGATATCGTCACTCGTTTGCGTTCTTTCCAGTTACTTGGCAAATGTATCTGTTGTAATATTGCAACAAACTGCTGTTACTCGTTATATAGTAAGTTTATTACAACGGCAAGCTTTCCAATTTCCTGAAGCTCGTTAGCTGGCGGCGTCGGCGGGAGGAGCGCTAAAGCCATGTCCCCGACCTCTAGTGAAGGAGCGGCCGGGGCTCTTGCCCGACGCAACCGTCAATTGGCCACGATGCTAGACACGACTGTCACGGAGCTCAAGAAATTGGCGGCGCAGACAGCGCAGGCGGAGTCGCTTGCCGACGAGACAGCCAGGATAGCGCACAGGAACGCCATCGAGACGGCGGCGGCACGTGTGTAATTTGTGCAGGTCTATCTGAAGGACGGCCACCCTGCTGCTTCCTAACGAAGAGCCGAGTCGGCTGCCAAGCGTTTCGACGATGACAACGCCAGCGGTCGGCAGGGGGAGACCCCCGGCAACGGTGGCACTTGACACAACGCATGTGGTGGCCAGCACCGCGGCGGTCCACGACACGGTCAGAGACGACTTGGGGTTGCCGAAAGATTCGCAGCGCGGGAGCCTGCTGAACACCCCGGTCGTGATTGGCTCTCCTGACCCGAACTCTCTGCTTGAAAAGCCGGAGCCTCAGGACCAAAACAGTCAGCACGCTGATCGGATGGAAACAGACGAGGTTGGGCCTGTCGGGAAAACACCAGCAGGCGCCGCCCCAGCAGCGGACCCAGCAGCCGTGGCAGTTGCCGAATTAGCGACCCGCCAGGCCCCGCAAGGACCGGCCAGCGGCCGGCGGCGCCAATCCCCACCCACTCCACAATCGCCCGGTCGTCCTTTTCGTGGATGCTCGAACTTGAAGTATGTAGCACCTCCTTCGGCAGTGGCAGCTGCGACGGCAGCAGCGATAGCGTCCTCGGCCTCGGCCACGCCGTCGTCAGCCTCGCGCCTGCCGATCGTCGCGTACAAGCCCCTTCAGCGCCTCCTCGTCGGCTCCTCCCTCGCACCGCAAGCGGCTGTCGGCCCACGGGGGCACCGGTAGCAGCACCGCAGTTAGCAGGGAGCGGAACGCGTTCCTGTCCGGCGAGGTGTTACCTTTTGACGACGAGCCTGAGTGGCTGCGGCGAGCCCCCACAACGGACGAGATCTTTGGCCTGGAGCCGCTGAAGAGGGCGCTTCCTCGGGCTTCCAGTCCTTGAATTAGGCGGGCAAAAAATACGAATACTGTAATGGCGGGCCTGCAGTGCTTTGCTTCTTGGATTACGGTTCACTTTATGTGGTTTGTCTAGGGCTGGAGGTTGGTTGCTGGGGTGAGCTCCGGCGCATTATTGCCCGATCCCCGGCATGGCCAGGGGCGCGATTTGCCTTCGCTGTCGGATGAGGTCGCGCCGATAAGTTTCTCGCTTTTCGCAAAGGGACGCCATCAAGCACTTAGAGTAAGTGAGTGAGTATATTTAACGTTAGTAAGTCGGTATCTACCAGTACCTGCCTCCCAGGGGGTATATAACGTGCTAGCGCCACCTAAGCTAAAACACTAGGCTACATGTTGCTATCCTGCGGCTAGCAGAATTAAACCCGAAGGCACACCGAGGTCGGGCCGCGTTCTGGCGCTCCTTCATAATCCGCCAATCAACGCTCGCCCACAGAACACAAACTGGCCTTGATCTCAGTCAACAGTGTCCAAGACTCGGAGGAGTCCGGCCCATCATGACATTTCCGTAGACATCGGCTAATGTCATGAAGCAGAGAGTGATATGTCCACATGCAACACGTCACGCAAGTCAGGTAGCAAAATCCCTCCCTGTTTCCGATGCTGAACGCCCCGACTTTTACGTGTCCCAAAATGTATATCATGAAATAGCCCGCTCCTGATCAGTACACCTTTGCCATGTGCATAATCCCCGCCGCATTGACCCTTGCCGCTCGTCATCCCTACGGCCCTACTCCTCAAACCGCGTCTGGCAGCCTGACGGCAATATCGCCAGACTGCGTAATGTAACGGACCCAGGGGAGAGATGGATATTGCAGCTGCGGGTGGGTCAGTTAGCAATTCAAGTCAAATACAGACACATGCAAAGACGGAAGAACGCACCTTTGGTTCTGTGATCTTCAGGTACCTGACCTGGATGCCGCTCGTGGTAAAGTAGGGAATCTCAAACTTGACCTGGATGGGCCTCTTGGCGCCCTTGTTGCCAACGCCACCCATGCTGCCGCCGAAGCCGCCTGTCATGCCGCCGCCGTGCTCGTCGTCGCCTCTGACGCTCGGCAAACCCAGCTCGGCGCGCATCAGGAACTCCTTGGAGCCGCCAAACTGCTTGATCTTCCAGACGATGGCACTCTGCTCCGGGGCGTAGTGTACGCTCCCGACGTTTGTGCGGAACCGGGGCGTGTCGGCGTCGTCGGGCACGGGCACGATGATCTCGACGTTGTTGGCCGTGGACCGGCGCTTGAACTGGGCGCGGGCCTTGAGCATGTACTCGATGCGCGAGCCGCTGTGCGATTCGACCACGCACTCGACCCAGATCAGCGGCTTGACCTGCGTGTTGAGCCGGTAGCTCATCAGCTCGAACTCTCCGTCGGGCGGGATGAAGCTGATGGTACGGTCGTTCTCGAAGCGCGACAGGCGCACGCACTGGTGGAATTTCACGTCCTCCATCTCGATGGCCTTGCCGCGCGTCGTGCGGCCCGTCGTCTCGAACATGACCTTGTCGTTGAGCCCCAGGCGCAGCTCGGGCATGCCCGAGAGGTAGCACTTCATCTTGATGGCGCCCAGGATCTCGGACCGCAGCACGTTGCCGTTGGCGGACACGAGCAGGTTGAGCGACTCGACCACGTCCAAAAACACCTCGTTCTTGCGGTACCGAATACCTTCGGACCGCCAGCTGACGGCGTTGGTGACGGCGATGGGCGGGCGCGCCTGGATCTCGAGCTTGTGGGACTCCTGCGTGATGTACTCCTGCAGGATCTTGGACTCGGTCGTTTGCGGGTAGCCAAAGTCCATCATCTCGTCCAGCAGCTCGTAGATGATGACAAAGTTGTCCCGTATCGACTCCTCCTCCAGCGCCTTAAAGTACTCGGTAAAGACCTCGACGATCTTGTGCAGAAACAGCAGGATCTCGGCCGCGTTGGTGTTGCGTTTGGTCAGCGCCAACAGGTACAGGTTGTTGTGCCGGATGTAGAGGTAGTTGATGCCCTCGTGTGAGAAGCACGGCGGGACCGCCGACGACTCTTCTTCGGCTTCGCTGAGAAGGATGGGGAACTTTTCGACTGCCGACATGGGGATGTCTCCGCGGTAGTTCCTGGCAAGGAGGGTCTTTCGGCCAAGTCAGCAGCTGGGCGGCAAGCACACGCAGAGGCGGCGGGTTTTGAGCTAGTATAAACCAACCTTGCCCTTAAGGTCGAGGAAGAATATTGCCGACGCCATCGTTGTGGTTGCTGTGGCTGTCTGGCTCGGGCCGCCCTGGCCTTGGGGGAGGAAGCAGGGTATGGGACGTAGTCGCCTGGCGTGGGGTGTGCCGTACGTTGCCGCGAAGGGTGTCAAAGCTCAGGAGGGAGAGATGCTCGGGCGGCCGCGGCTTGAGAGGCACAACACGCCGGTCCTCCCCAGGAGGCTGTCTTGAGGTGAACTGTCGGGCTCGGTCGCTCGGTTCCTTGGGCAGTCGTCGCCGGGCTTGCAGCAGGTGGCCGTGTCGAGGCGGAAGTCGTGGTTCGGTTCAATGCTGGGACTCACATACACCGCACATGGCACATGGCACCTGAGGCTCAAGCTGCCAAACGACACAACAGACAACTGGCCGCAGCCGCCAAGCTCCCGCGTAGTGGGGTCAAGTCTGGCTTATGTCATCGCCCCGGGGAGCACGAGCCACAGTCCCACCGTCTTGTGCACGGACCGCCAACAGACATAAAAGTGAAAATTTCGTCCCTTGTCTTTTCCTTTGCTTCCTCTTTCCTTCCCAACGCGCCCACTAGACAGTGCAACCCATCACAACCCGCGACTGGAGCAGGCATTTTGTCTGTTACCGACTGTGTGGCCGTTGATGGGCCTTGCGATTTCGAGGCGCGGAGAAGAAGGAAATCCATGGTTTCATAAGAACTGCCTGAGTGCTGTGCCTCCGTTGCTTTGGCGGTGTCAGAGGAACCAAACATTTTGACTTGTCGATCCGTTGCTGTCTGCTGGGCTGGCCGACACCGGAGCCTGTCGGGGTCACTCGTCCCGCGTCACATGTCCATCGCTGCCGCTCCCTCTGACTCGGGACCGCGCCAAGCTCGGGTCGGGGACGCCCTGCTTGCTCTCTGCAAGCGCGCCACCAGACCAGGACAAAAGCGCTCTGCGGGTGCGTCACGAAAAGAGAGGAGTGGCCGCACGCACCACGAAACGTGGTTCGATTCTTGTGCTCATCGCCGAGTGGACGATTTGCAATGCACATATCGATGTGGCTGCACTTGGCGGTTTCCACCCCCACGTAAATCATTGCTAATTCTCCGGGAGATTATCGGCAAAGGAACAAGCGTTTTGCATGTGATGGCTCTTTGCTGCCTGCTCCTGTCCGCGCTGATATCCCAATATCTCGTCCCTTTATTTGTCATTTCGGGTTTCTGCCAACAAATTGCGTTCCTATCCCCTTTTTCGTTCTGCTGCACCTTTTAAGCACCACGGTACTTTTGCGCCGGCTACAGACAGCCCATCGCATGTCCCAGAGCCGTTGAGCGTCTTTTATTAGCACGTGCTAGGCAGATGCAGCGAGTGTGGTGTTTGATGTGCGTCCGCGTCTCTTGGTATCCACTTGGGTGGGCCGCCGTCACCTCGTTCGTCAGTCGAAGAAGGAACCTGAGCACACTGAGGTACTGCGGACTCAAGAGAGTGACATTATCGACCAAATGAAACCCAGGGCTGGGAATCTTGGGGCAGCCGCCTGATGATCTTGGTTTGGGACGAAGATTCTCGGTTTGCCTCAGGCGAAAGCTAATCTGTGGCGGGGGAAAAGCACGGGAGAAAGAGGGTTCCGTCGAGACGTTTTGTGGTCTTGTACAATACGACAATACGGACATGGGACATGCAGCAAGAAGCACCAATTGACGCCATCCAAGCACATGCCTCGGGATTCTGCAGTCGGCCCAGCTGCTCTGTGTGCCTGTCCTATCCCCATTGCCAAGACTGGGTGTTCCCTCTAAGGTCAACAACAGCCACAGCCCTGACAAAGGCAAACAGGGCGGCAGTGTTGGCGAGGGTCCAGTCTGGCGGGGTTGACCAAGCCAGAAGCAAGGCACATGACCGCATGACTGGCAAACTGGGTCCGTTGGGAAAACACTTCCCAGACGTCCAGAGCACGTCCCTCGATGCCCTGGGCCAAGCACCCGTTACGCCTAGAAAGCCATGGAAGATGAACAGTGTCTGTCGGTGCGTTGCGTGATGTGCCCTGTCGGGATCTTGCAGGGAGTTTGCAAACCGAAAGACATTGGGACATGGGCATTGAGAAATGAGGCGGGCTCCACCCGCTGGCTGGCTGCTGCTCGGCACATGAGATTCAGCTGCTGGGAGTTGGGTGGGGTCGTCGGCCCAGCACATGGGAAACGGCAGGCACTCAATCGAGGGCTTTGTGTTTTGCACATGGGCCGGCGTTCGCTTGATGTCCTGGTCCCCTGCTGACGACCAAGGGGCCCTGCCGCCCCACAAATCGCCGCCCATCCCGCCTTTGTCCACGCCTGTGCGCCAATCAAGCGCCCCCGTTACTCGTCTTTTTCATCTTCACGATCCAGCAGCCGCGGGAGAGGCCAAAGTCAGTCGACCGACGGGTCCCGGCCTGGTCGCATCCTTTTTTTTTCCTGTCTGGTCTCCAGTCTGGTCTTGCCCTCGTCTTCCCTGGCCATCTCCTGTCCCCGCTTCCTTGGCCTCCCTGTGCTCTACCTATATTTCCTTCGTCTCTTGTCCATCTCGTGGCAAGCCCGTCTGCCTCGTTTCCTGACTGGCGGGCACTCGACACTAGACACACACGGTACGCCTCCCCAGATCTCTCATGGCGACGAGCCGCGGCTGCATTGACGGCCGCCCTGCAGAGCCCTTCCTCCACGCCCCTGATACAACCTCGGGGCTCGCTGGGGTGATGCATGCGGGCGCGCCGCTTGAGGGAAACTCTGTCGACACACTGACTGACTGACAGCTCCATTCTGGCAATCAATTAGGGGCAGTCACCGGCTCCAACGCCCTGCACGCGCCGCCGCGAAACCGCCGCCTCCTGCCCGCGCCGCCGCCCGCACCGGCCCTCGCTGGTCTTTTGTCTTTTCCTCGTCCCATGTCGGCAATGTCCCGCCTGCTTTAGCCTCCGCCCTGTGCTTGCGCCCGTGTGCGTGCGAGTGTAGAGTCCAACCGAGTCGAGTCGCTGAGAGTCCCCAGCGTTTCGCACACGCCACCAAAAATGGAGGCCCAGCATCACATGCGAGAGCGCCAACAGGGCTGTGACGATGCTAAATCCCCGCCCGAGCCCGCCCTCCCAACCCTCCCACCGTCGTCTTCTCTCTTCCCCCACTGCCACCCGCCGCCATCGCCGCCGCCGCCGCCGCCGCCCAGTCTCGGCCTGCCATCGCCTGCGTCCTTCGGCAACTCCCTTGCCGGCGGCCAGGCCAATCGTCTCGACCAGCTCTCCTTCCCCGATGTCCCCACACACGAACTCGCCCCGATCTCCCTGACTGCCGCCCAGTCCTCGTCATTGCCCAGCCGCGACACCAGCAAACCTGCCGCCGGCGACGCTGCCATCACAACAACACTGCCGCCAATCTCGGCCCTGACCGACTCGCTGCCCTCTTCGCTCAGCCCCCGCTCCGTCCCCGCGAGCTCCGCTTCCCCTCCGACCCAGGTCGACCGCCGTCACCCGTCGCCGCCGAGGCTCACTGAGTGGCCAAGCCTGAACCCATACACAACCTTTTACAGCCCCAGCCATGCCCAGGCTGCCGACTCGCCCGGAAAGATGGACGTGGAAATGAGCGGCACCCGCGCCGGGAGCGTCAGCCTCGACGACCCCGACGTGCGCATGGCCGCCGAGGCGCTGGGGGATCTCCGCGCAGGTACGCATTTTCTGTGCTGTCTCGGACGCACGCCATGCTTTCATGCCATGTCCTGGCACTTGCGCTGACACACCAATAGACTTTGTTTCGACCCCGCAACAACAACAGCACCCCGAGCCCCTTCTCCAGCTGCTGACAACTTCGCACCCACTGCTCGCAAAGACCATCGAGGGCACCACATCTGCCTACAACACCTCAAAGAACTTCTCGCCGAGATTCAAGTCGGGGGCCGAGTACGTAGAGGGCTACCTAACGCCCATTGGAAACACTCTGGGCTCCGTCGGCCGTGTCACGGGAGTCGAGGGCGGAGTGCGATGGTTCCTGCGTGGGGCCAGGAGACAGCCCCCGCCGTCGTCGGACCTCGAGTCTGGCGACGGCGCGCGGAATAAGAGGCGGAGGATGATGGGCACCCGTGACGGGTCCGACGATAGCAGGTCGATGGGCCACGACGACAGGCCCAGCCCGACAACGACCACGAGCGCCGTAACCACCCCGACGCCGTCCGAATTCGACCCCTTCGCCTTCAGGAGCAAGGAGCGGAGGACCTCGATGAGCACGGTCGACACCCTGCCTGCCTACGACGATCACCGCTCACCGGCCTATACCGAGGACGCGCGCGACGAGCGGTCAGGTTCAGTGTCGTCGCCGCGTCCGCAGTCGTCCAGCAGTGGGGGTGCTGCCTGGCAGTCACGCCTCATCCTCTCCACGTCGGGGCTTAGTGTCGCCATGAGCGAGGAGAGCTTGCGGAGTCTCAAGTACTGCCTGCAGTGGTTGAGGTGGGCCAACGACCACATCGCCAAGGTTATCGGCACACTCAAGGCCACGCTGGAACAGTTCGAGCAGCAACAGAAGCAGCAGAACCCCGACGCGGAGGGTAACCTCTCGACAACCGAGATTACCGTCATCATTGACCCCAACGCCATGGTCATTGATGAAGAGCCAGGGCAGATTGAGAACGCCGAGCTGGGCCAGCGCGTCGCAGCCCTCAAATCGGATGTTCTCAAGACGCTGCGAGCCGTGATTGAGACTGTTTCCAAATACGCCGGCGGCGCACTCCCCGAGAATGCGCGAGTTCTTGTTCGCCGACACCTGACCAGCCTGCCTCAGCGCTTCCGGCTCGCCAGCCAGGCCGATCCCACTGCCGCTGGCCCATCCACGGCCAGCGAGAAGGATGTGCGCGAGGGCGCTCAGCGTGTCCTCCTCCTGGCGCAGGAGGGTCTGGACATGATGGCTCAGGTCAGCGGCGTGCTGGACGGCACCATCGTGAGCGCCGAGGAATGGTGCTCCCGCTTGGGCAAGAGGAAGCAGGAGGAGCGAGAGGCGCTCGGACGCCAGAGCATCGAGCCTCTGACGGGAGTTGGCATCGATGGTGATGTGAAGATGGGCTGAGCCAGTCCACCACCCACTGCTGCATATTGGCATATATTTCTTCTTTTCCCTTGATTCCCGTTCCTTAATCACGGTTTCGGTTAACTTCCGGAGAGCAAAAGTGCAAAACGAAAGGGATTTAAAAACAAAAACGAAACATAAAACCGGACTTACACGGGACGGCGCGGCGTTTTAACGACGGGGTTACTCTTGGACATCAACATACCCTTCAACGCGCATCACCCCGTTCACAAGACCATTGCTGGGCTCAGCCTGTGTGCTGCTGGCGTGGGCCCGCGGAGAGGAAGATTATTTAGAAAGCCTGATTGGCGCAAGGCACAGGCGGCTCTCAGACGCATTTCTGCCGTCTCTATTCGTTCCTCGAGGCTGATCTCTAATACTTGGATGGCCGTGGTCGCGCCATAAAAAACACACACCAACACTCATTTATCTTCCTATGTCCTCTCTTTTACCTCTTTCAATCCGGCTGAATTTCCTCGCACTTTCCACTCCTTCTCTCCTTTGTTGTGTTTTGTACCTATTAGCAAGCCGTTCTACCATGTCCTCTGGCTGCACATGTCTTCTACTACTGCTTTACCCTGCTGATTTTCGGAATACGAAACTCGATGCCTGACATTTTCCTTTTTCTCGACTGCTTCCATCTCTTCTGTTTTGTTCATGCTTTTGTGTTTTTAGCTGGCAACACAATGCCTTTGTGTTGTTCGGCTTTTTCGATCGGTCCACTGGACGGCGAGCTTGTAGAGCGATTGTCCGTTCAGCGCGGGAGGGGGTTTGGGTTTGGATCGGCTGTTGGTCTCATTTTGTTCTGTTTCTATCTTGCTTTGATGTAAATAGCCTCCCATCTGTGTCCACAGAAATCCGACATAGATGTTTGTGTGATTGGACTGCCCCTTTTTGATCATGGCGTGGAGCCGAAAGCGGCTGGCGACTTCTTTGCCTCGTTCGAGTGTTGTCGCGCGCGGTAGGCTGCCACTTGCCGTCGTTGCTCCTGCTCCCATACTGGATACGATAGCTCAACACTAGGAAGGTGCAGTCTGTGTCTAGGGTCAACCGGGGAACAAAGGGCAGACAAGGACTTGGGATCCAATGTAGCCACCACCACCGAACAAAGCAGACAGACGCATCTAATGTTAACCTACACTCTTCTTTATCGCCATCGGCTTTTCTTTGGTATATAGCGTTCGTTTCTCAGCCGGAACGAGGATGGACACCAACGCCAATCAGTCGTGAGGCACACGAGCAGACACGCACACCCTCCTTCACAGCATCTTTTTGGACGCCATAGCTACTGGTCGTCATCGCTACCACGTCCGACACAGACACCAAACTCGTGGCGCCCGAACAAGCATAACATGATGCCATTCGACAAGCCCCAAGAGAAGCGGCCGAACAAGATCAAGCTCTTGTTCACGCCGAAGCCCAAGGACGCGAATGGTGACGTCGATGGGGCCGACGATGGGGCCGACGATGGGGCCTACGACGGGGCCGCTGGCGAGGGTAGCAGCAGCAGCAGCGACAGTAGCAGCGGTTGCTATGAGTTCGGCAGCGAGTCGACTGGGTCTCCCGCCCCTGGGGGCCCCGAGTGCATGACCGATGACGACAGGGGCGTGCAGGCGGCGCGGCTAGAGATGCTTCGGGAGGCCGGATCGCTGCAACATGACAAGAAGAAAGTGCAGTTCTGCAGCATGACGCGCTGTGCCCAGACTGACTTCGAGCGCTCCCCAGAGTATTTCGAAGAGCCCCTGGCGGAGCTCCTGGAGGAATGCAAGACCAAGTCGGGGCGCGCCGCGGCGGCCGGTCCATCCGCCCCGAGCAGCAGCACGAACTGGGCTAGCCACCTGGACGAACACAACATCCACCGCTTTGACGTGGCGCAGGGCCGCGACGGCGAGGTGTACGACAGGGCGCTGCGCGAGGTGCTGGCGGGCGGCAAGGAGACGCACTGGATGTGGTTCGTGTTCCCGCAGCTGGCGGGCGCGGGCGGCGTGGACCCAGCTTCCTGCAGCCACACGGCGCGGTTCTACCACGTGCGCTGCCTGGCCGAGGCGCGCGCGCTGCTCGACCACCCGCGGCTCGGCTGGCGGCTGCGGCGCATGGCGGCCGCGGTGCTGGCGGCCGCGCCGGCGGTTGGCTACAACCCTAAGAGGTTGATGGGCGGAGTCGTGGACGCCGCCAAGCTGCAGAGCTCTATGACGTTGTTTGGGGTAGTGGCTGAGGACACGACGGTGTTTCAGCAGGTGCTGGACGACATGTTTGATGGGATGTCGGACGACTCTACGCTGCAGCTTGTAAACGCGGAGCTGAACCGCTCAGGATAGGTTGGTGGCGAGGTTCGGTCCTTGTGCTACCTACCTACCATGGCTTGTCGTCTCATGTATTTCCCATCAACGCCACTGCTTGTCTTTTTTTGATAGCATCAGCTTTTTGTTTTCTCGGCAGGGACTAGATTGTAATATCTGGGCAGTTAATACTGCCTTTCTTTGAATAAACAGCCAGCGTATTGTTTTCACGTTTTCAACTAGTGCGCGATTCTGAGTTTAGGTGAGTACGTTCCTCCAGTAGACACGAGGCTGAGCCGGCGGAGGGCGGCTAGCGTCCGTCCCTGTTCCGATCACATGGCAGCCGGACTTCGGGCGTCGGTCGCGGTGGACCCGGACCCCGACCATGACGACGAGCACGCGAGGCGCCGACATCTGCCGTCCAGGGGTCCAGCTCGGCGTTCCCGCCCTGCATCTGCACTGCATGCCAATCGTACCACCTACACCAACAGGCAACGGCAGCCCGAGAAGCCTCGGCAGGCAGGGGGAATGCCAGGTCTTTGGTGGAGACGCCTCGGCTGACGGTGTTATGCATCCTGCTGAGGGGCACCGGAAAAAAGTCTGGACCGTTTTTCGCTTTGCCGGATTATAAATGCAGAGGGCAAAATAACTGCAGACTGAATGGGCCTTTTTTTTTGTAGTGGTGGGGAATAAATTGCGGTCCGGACTTTCAATGGTGGATGATTCCAATCCCGATAACACGAAATTTTTTTTGGCCATGTCTTGGGCGCTTCCCACCTTCCACCCTGTTACTGTTGCCCGTCGGACAGTCGGGCTCTCTACACGTACTTGGCCCCTATTCTATGAATCCCACATCTTTACTCCTGCAGGGTCCCTGGGCCAGGCCCTACAGGGGCATGCTTGGGCCGAGGCATGACACTGAGGCGGCCCTCGCGCCATGCAGATTGGACGCAGGTGCGGGTCGATGGCAGGCCGTTCATGCTACGAGTCACCGTGAGCCCTCCGGCACGTCCCATAGGCCGCCTGCCCCGCGGCGAGAGCTTCGACCCCGCCGCCCGACAGGCTCGGGCAAGCTCGAGGTCGACTCGCACCGCCTCTGTGCCATCATGTACCTAGTGTGACGTCCCGTCTGCCTTCTGCTATATACGCACCTATATATACATGCCCCAAGGCCCCCTCCCTGCCCGCCATGCCCGGCTCACAGCCTGCATCCCAATCCATCTGGCCTCTGTCTCTTCTCCAACGCCCGGCCGCTGCAGAAGACGACCAGCCCAATATGACGACCACCAACGACGACGGCACCGCGCCCGTGCCCGAGCCCGCGGGGCTGCCCCTCCTGGGCAACCTCGGCGCCATCGACTCCGAATTCCCGCTCGGGTCCTTGATGTCCATGGCCGACAAGCACGGCGAGATCTACCGCATGCGCTTCCCCGGTAGGACCATGGTCATCGTGTCGACCCGCGCCCTCGTCAACGAGGTGTGCGACGAGAAGCGCTTCCAGAAGAGCATCGGCCCGACCCTGCGCGAGGTCCGCCACGGCGTCCACGACGGCCTCTTTTCCGCCAGCGCCGAGGAGGAGAACTGGGGCATCGCCCACCGCGTGCTGATGCCTGCCTTTGGCCCGCTCTCCATCCGCGGCATGTTTGACGAGATGCACGACATCGCCTCCCAGCTGGCTCTGAAATGGGCACGTTACGGCCCCAACCACCAGATCATGGTGACGGACGATTTTACCCGCCTGACCCTCGACACCCTGGCCTTGTGCTCCATGGGCTTCCGCTTCAACAGCTTCTATTCGCCCGAGCTGCACCCCTTCATCGAGGCCATGGGCGACTTCCTGGTCGAGTGCGGCAACCGCGGCCGGCGTGCACCGCTGCCGTCACTCTTTTACCGCAGCCAGGACCAGAAGTTCGATTCTGATATCGAGATCCTTCGCACCACGGCCCGCGAGGTGCTGGAGTCCCGCAAGGGCGGCGAGGGCGGCGAACGCAAGGACCTTCTCCATGCCATGCTCCAGGGCGTCGACACCAAGACGGGCAAGAAGATGACGGACGAAAGCATCATGGACAATCTCATCACCTTTTTGATTGCCGGGCACGAGACGACGTCGGGCCTGCTGTCGTTTGCATTCTACCAACTGATGAAGCACCCGGCCTGCTACGAAAAGGCACAGCGCGAGGTCGACGAGCTGGTCGGCAAGGGCCCCATAACGGTCGACCACCTGTCCAAGATGCCCTACATCAACGCCGTGCTGCGCGAGACGCTGCGCATCGATGCCACCATCCCCGTGATCTCGGTCGGCGCTCTCGAGGAGACGACGCTCGGCGGCAAGTACAAGGTCGCCAAGGACGAGGCGGTGCTGCTGCTGCTTGCCAAGTCGCACCTGGACCCCCTGGTCTGGGGCAGCGACGCGCTCGAGTTCAAGCCCGAGCGCATGCTGGACGCCAACTTTGAGCGCACCACCAAGGAGTTCCCCAACGCCTGGAAGCCTTTCGGCAACGGCATCCGCGGCTGCATCGGCCGCCCCTTTGCCTGGCAGGAGGCCCTGCTCGTCATGGCCATGCTCCTCCAGAACTTCAACTTTGTGCCCCAGGCCGGCTACAAGTTCGCCTACAAGCAGACGCTGACGCTCAAGCCCAAGGAATTTCACATGCGTGCCGTGCTCCGCGACGGCCTGACGCCCACCACGCTCGAGCGTCGCCTACAGGGCCTTGCCCCGGCGTCCGAGACGGCAAAGGTGGCCTCGACAGGCAGCTCTGCGGGCGCGGGCGCGGGCGCGGGCGCCACAGGAGCCCCCATGACCATCCTGTACGGCTCCAACAGCGGCACGTGCGAGGCCCTGGCGCGCCGCATTGCCGCCGACGCGCCGTCGCACGGCTTCCGCGCCGTCACAGTCGACTGCATGGACAGCGCCAAGGATCGGCTGCCCACAGACCAGCCCGTCGTCATCATCACGGCCTCGTATGAGGGCCAGCCGCCTGACAACGCCGGGCACTTTGTCGCTTGGCTCGAGGCCGCAGACCAGGCCGGGCAGCCGCTCAAGAAGGTGTCGTATGCCGTGTTCGGGTGCGGCCACAAGGACTGGGCCCAGACGTTCCACCGCATCCCCAACCTCGTTGACACGACGCTCGAGCAGCTCGGGGCGTCCCGCCTTGCCGTGGCGGGACTGACGGACGCGTCGACTGGGGCTGTCTTTTCCGACTTTGAGACGTGGGAGGACGACAAGCTGTGGCCGGCGCTGGCGGCGTGCTACAACGTCAAGAGCGACGCGGGCGCCAAGGAGGACGGTAGCGACCGCATCAAGGTGCACGTGTCGAACCCACGCACGTCGACGCTGCGGCAGGACGTGCAGGAGGCGCGTGTGGTCGAGGCCAAGGCCCTCACGGCGGCGTCGGGGCCCGAGGACGGCGACAAGCACGTCAAGAGGCACCTCGAGATCGAGCTGCCCGAGGGCATGTCGTACGCGGCTGGTGACTACCTCGCCGTGCTGCCCATCAACCCGGCCGAGACGGTGCAGAGGGCGCTGCGCCGGTTCCGCCTTGCACGCGACGCCCACGTCACCATCGAGTCGCCCGACAGCCAGACGGCTCTGCCCGTCAACACGTCCGTTCCTGTGTTTGAGGTGCTCAGCTCGTATGTTGAGCTGTCGCAGCCGGCCACCAAGAGGGTAAGCGCTACGGGTGCCGGAGAGAGATTTTATGTGAGGGACAAGACTGACATGTTATCGCTCAGAACCTTCTTGCTCTGCAAGACGCGGCGGCCGACGACGCCACCAAGCAAGAGCTGGGCCGCCTCGCGGGCGATGCCTATGCCGACGAGATTGGTGTCAAGCGCGTCTCTGTCCTCGACATCCTTGACCGCTTCCCGTCCGTCGAGCTTCCCATCGGCTCGTTCCTGGCCATGATGCCGCCGATGCGTGTCCGGCAATAGTGAGTGGCTGAATACGTCGCCTTTATTACTTTTGATGCAGCGCCGCAATGCTGACTGATTGCTTCTTGCACAGCTCCATCTCCTCGTCACCCCTCTGGAACCCGTCCCACGTTACCCTCACATTCTCGGTCCTGGATGCGCCCTCGCTGTCGGGCCAGGGCCGGCACGTCGGCGTGGCGACGTCGTACCTCGCCTCCCTCGGCGCCGGCGACTCGGTCCACGTGGCGGTGCGCCCCTCGCACGTCGCCTTCGGCCTGCCCTCGGATCCCGAGCGCACCCCGCTCCTCTGCGTGGCCGCCGGCACGGGCCTGGCCCCCTTCCGCGGCTTCGTGCAGGAGCGCGCGGCCATGATATCGGCAGGTCGCCAGGGCCTCGCCCCCGCGCTGCTCTACTACGGCTGCCGCGACGCGGCCGTCGACGACCTGTACCGGGACGAGCTTGACAAGTGGGAGGCCCTGGGCGCCGTCGAGGTGCGACGCGCCTTCAGCCGCGCGGCGGCTGGAGATGGCGGCCCCAAGCACGTGCAGGACGTGATCCTCGAGGACGCCGACCGGCTGTCGGAGCTGTGGGAGGCGGGCGCCAAGGTCATGGTGTGCGGCAGCAGGGGCGTGTCGCAGAGTGTCATGGACGCCATGGTGCGCATCCGCGTCGACAAGGGCAAGGAGAAGGGCAAGGAGTTCTCTGAGGACGAGGCGCGGCAATACTTTGACGATCTGCGGAATGTGCGGTATGCTACTGATGTGTTTGACTAGGGTGGTGTGTGTGGTTTTGCTACGACGTATGATGCAGTCGGGGATTTCGTATTATTACCTATATATTGGATGGAATACCAGCGGACTTTTTTTTTTTTCCTCTACATTCTTATTTTGATCAAGATGATATATTTGCATCCTTTTTACTGGGTTGTAACCGAAAAGAATATTTCTTCTGTCCCATCCACATCAGCCCGACTGACCCCCACAACACCACTCTTGGCACCCCGTCGGGAGCTCCGGAGCCGGCGGCTAAATAGGAGTGCGGGGCGGATGCGGAGGCGGTTCGGGTGGAGGCAAACGCTGTCGCCGTCGTGGGTTTCGAGGACACTTGGGTTTGTATACAAGAGCATCGCATGGAACTTGCACTCCTTATCCTCCCGGCGGCTCGCTAGCACAAAAAAAAACATACCCCCAAAATGCCCCTCGTCCGCAACCCCATCCTCCCCGGCTTCAACCCCGACCCGTCGGCCGTGCGGGTCGGCGCCGACTACTACATCGCCACGTCCACCTTTGAGTGGTTCCCCGGCGTGCAGATCCACCACTCGCGCGACCTGGCCAACTGGACGCTGGCGAGCCGGCCCCTGACGCGCGCGGCGCAGCTCGACATGCGCGGCGACCCGGACAGCTGCGGCGTGTGGGCGCCCTGCCTGACCCACGACGGCGACCGCTTCTGGCTCGTCTACACCGACGTCAAGCGCAAGGACGGCTCCTTCAAGGACTCGCACAACTATATTGTTACAGCGCCCGCAGTCGAGGGCCCCTGGTCCGACCCCGTCTACGTCAACTCGTCGGGCTTCGACCCGTCCCTCTTCCACGACCCGGACAGCGGCAAAAAGTACTTTGTCAACATGCTCTGGGACCACCGCCGCCGCCCGCGCCTGTTTGCCGGCATCGCGTGCCAGGAGTTCGACCCGGCCACCAACAGGCTCGTCGGCCCGCGCAGGAACATCTACCAGGGCACCGACCTCGCCCTGATCGAGGCGCCGCACCTGTACAGGCGCGGCGGCTGGTACTACCTCCTCGTGGCCGAGGGCGGGACCGGCTACGACCACGCCTGCACGCTGGCGCGCGCGCGCGACATCTGGGGCCCCTACGAGACGCACCCGGAGGCCCACCTGCTGACGGCCAAGGACGCGCCGCTGGCGCCGCTGCAGCGGGCCGGCCACGGCGACCTGGTCGACACGCCCGACGGCGGCCGCACGTACCTGGTGCACCTGACGGGGCGGCCGACGACGCAGCTGCGCCGGTGCGTGCTGGGCCGCGAGACGGCGATACAGGAGGTCGAGTGGCGGGACGACGGCTGGCCTCGTGTCAAAGGCGGGCCCGTGCCGTCGCTGCACGTCGACCTGCCCGCGGCCCGCGACGACGCGCCCTACTGGGCCGAGCAGCTGTACACGTTTGGTGACGGTGAAAAGGAGCCGCTGCCGCAGGACCTGCAGTGGCTGCGCACGCCGCAGCCCGAGCGCATCTTCCGCCAGGACCGAGGCCGGCTGGTGCTGATGGGCCGCGAGAGCGTCGGGTCGTGGTTCGAGCAGGCCCTCGTGGCGCGGCGCCAGACGCACTTTTCCTACGACGCCGAGACGCTGCTCGACTACGCGCCCGCCGACGAGCGCCAGTACGCCGGCATCACGGCCTACTACAGCCGCTACAACTTCCTGTACCTGACCGTGACCGCCCACTCGGACGGCGAGCGCGAGCTGCTCGTCATGGCGTCCGAGGCCTCCTACCCCGAGTCCAAGCTGCGGGCAGAGTTGCTGCAGCAGCCCGTCCGCATCCCCAACGCCGGCAAGGTCCGCCTGGGGCTCACCGTGCGCGGCCGGGACCTGCAGTTCTACTACGCCGTGGCCGCGGCCGGCGAGGGCGACGCCGACCTGAGGGCGAGGGACATGGAAAAGGTCGGCCCCGTGCTGGACGCATCGCTCGTGTCCGACGAGTGTGGCGGCCACCAGCTCCACGGCAGCTTCACCGGCGCCTTTGTGGGCGTGGCCTGCTCCGACCTCAACGGCACCGCGCTCGAGGCCAGCTTCGACTACCTCCTGTACCGCCCCGTGAGCCACCATACAGACCGCTATGATGTGTGAGTAAACAGGCCTTTTCATTTGGACATGAGTGTACTGCACTACCTAGAAAATGCCACGAGAAAGTCGCCATCAACAAAAAACCCAACAAGATCTCACCATAAAGACCAAGCCGCGTGATCCAACACCGTACACGTAGCACTGGCCACACAACCCCCTGCCTCATGCAAGCGGCTTCTGTATGTAGATGACCTTGAGAGGGTAGTAGGCGTGGTAGGACCGATTCTTGATGGCACTGCGCACCCTGGCCAGCAGAACCTCGGTCTCCTCGGCCCTGTAGCCCATCACCATATGACAGACGTAGTTGGCGAAACCCTCGAGCCCCTGCTCAAGGCACATGCGGTTGAAAAGACCCACCTCCTTCCACCTGGGGTCGGCAGCCCAGCCGCCGATAGGCAGCTTGACCATGGCGCGGTTGATGTCGCCCGTAAAGCCGGCATCGCGCAGCTTGTCCTCCCAAAACTCAGAAATGGTGAAGGAACGGCCCATCTTCTCGCCGGCGGTGCGGAAGAGGACGTTCCAGTCAGTCCAGACGGAATCGTCGGGCACCGAGCCGTCGTCAGAGAGGAGCGGGATCGAGAACTCGTGGTGCTCGAACCAGCCGCCGGGCTTGAGGCAACGGTGGACGTTGCGGTAGAACTTCTCCCAGTCCTGAATGCAGCCGAGCAGGCCGCGGACGTGGATGTAGTCGAAGCTGTTGTCCGGGTAGGTCCACTCGGACTCGGCGTTGTCGAGCTCGAACTTGCAGTTGGGCGGCACCCATGAGGGCTGGATGGGCGACAGTTCGGTGCCAATGACCTCGGCCGACGGGTTCTCGTCGGCAAAGTCGCTGGGAGGGGAGCGTGATTAGCACAGAAGGACAGGGAGAGGTGCGTATACTTGGCATTTCACTCACATGGCCCAGATTCCAGTGCCAGTGGCGACGTCGAGCACCTTTTGCGGGTTGTCGAGCGGGGCAAGGTAGAGTTTGTCGCCGAGACCGAGGTACATCATGTGATGGCTGCGACGTGACATGGTGAGCTTTTGAAGGGGCTATCCGTCAGGGTTATCCGTCAGGAAGCAGGACCCAGGACGTACGCGATATCCAGGGCCTCATTCTGGATGTTATCGTTGGGGCCCCAGTACTCGGCACCCTCAAAGTTCTGGTAGGTGCGGCCATGGATCTTGCGGTAGTTGAGGATGGACGAGCTGATGGAGGCAGTGGAGCTAATGTTGAGGCTGTCGCCGTCACCCAGTGCCGAGTCGTGGTCGTCGAAGCCAGCGTCGGGCCCGACGAAGCTGGGGTCCTGGAGGGCGTGGGTGTGAGCTGTTATCTCGGTACTTGGGTAAACGGTCAGATGGATGGACCCAACTGACGCACCACTCTATGGCCGGCCTGGGCCGCTGCCGGTGGATCAGACGGCGCAGGTGCGGCGGCAGACGATGCGGTTGCTTCCGTCATGTTGAGAGATGGGATGGCTGTTGGGAAAGGAGGAAGTTGGGAGATTGATGGGGGAGAGGGGCGGGAATTGGGGTCAGATGAGGGAGGGAGGGGAAGCTGAAAAGGCCCGTCGTTCATGGGTGCTGGGTAATGCCTGCCATCTCGGGCCAGCTGCATGTGGCAACCATGAATATAGGCTAGGTGAAGGAAGCGCGGTGCGGTGGGCCACGACGTACTATCAATGGATTGAGGGGTTTAACCCTTTAGCGCTGGAGCACCCGAACCCACCGGGCTACTGTGCACTGATTGACGGTAGCGTCGCTTTAAGGCACGTGGCGGTCGCCATCGGCGGAATCTGGAGCCATCTGGAGTGGGGCCCGATATGTGGCCCGAAATGGTGACAGGCACGCTAACAGACACGCTAACGGGCTGCCAGCACAGGGGCTTCACTGGGGCCCTGTCTAATCAGGATATGCCTTCATCATACCGCTATTTGGACGCTAATAGGTTCCCACCACAACTACACCACGCGTCACGCCACCTAACCCCGCCCGTTTGCTAGCGCGATCCTGGCCTGCAAGCTGCAGGTTCGGGCTTGGCAAGTGCATTTGTGTAGTCGATATGCAGGCCTTCTGTGCCTAGGCCTTGTAACCCCAACACTTGCGCCCTCACTAACCCCTCCCAGCCAACACCGAAGCCACCTCCTCCGCAGCCCGGGATCCGGCCAAGACGGCGCCCTCCAGGTACCCCTTCCACTCATACGCCGTATCGCCCCCGCCAAAGTGCAGCACCCCGACTGGCCTGCGCAATGTCTCGCCGTACTTGCGCAGCATCCCCGGCCCCATCGAGTTGGTGGGCGCCCCCCAGATGTGCGACTCCTTGGTCCACTCGACGTAGTTGATCTCGAGCGTGTCGCGCGCCTTGTCCGCCAGCTTCGAGTCCACCGCCCCCGCTAGCATCGCCAGGTGCTCGACCACGGCCGCCCGCCGCTCCTTGTCGGGCAGCGCGTGCCACCGAGCCGCCGCGTCGGCAGCCACGAAGACGGCGAGGCTGTACTGGTCCAGCGACGGGTCCGAAGTGTCCCAGCTGAAGCAGACGGGCCCGTTGACGGAGCTGAACTTGCCGTCCAGCTGCGCGTTGCGCCACCAGGGCTCGCGGTACGACAGGATCAGCTTGGCGTAGACGCCCGGCTTGGCGCTGGAGAAGAGCTCCTGCTTTTCGGCGGGCAGCGCCGGCTTGATGTCGATGTCGGCGTAGGTGTTGGTCGGGATGGCAAAGATCACGCGCTTGGCCTTGAACTGCTTGCCCTTGCCGGTGGTGACCAGCGCGCCGTCGCAAGTGTGCTTTACGCTCGTCACTGGGCTGTTGACAAGCACGCTCCCTGGTGTCATGGCGTCGGCTAGACCCGTCGCTATGGCCGTGGTTCCTGCAGAGGGGTTTGTTCCTGGCATTAGCTTCGTCCTCGGTTCGAGTCATGTCTCCCGGGGCAGACAACCTACCCTGCTTGACCTTGAGGTACTGGGCGCCTTTCTCGTCATCTGTGCTGAGACTGATGAGGCCATGCCCAGATTTGACGTAGTCCAAGAAGTAATGCGCTCCAACTTCCTCTGGTTCCCGCCCAACGGTGGAGGTGACAAGTCTCTTGGTAAGCCCCTGCACATGCTCAATACCGCCAAGTCCCTTCTGAGCGACCCAGTCGGTGACGCTGACATCTTGGTCCACCGGGAACTTGTCAAAGTTGCGGATATCGATGTCGTGTTCGGTCGTGATTAGGAGGCCGAAAAACACTTTTTCCAGCTCTTGTAGCTCTGGGTTGTCGGTCTGTGGGTTTGTCATGTCAGCTCAAAACTCCGAGTCTCGCCGCTCTGAGATGCAGCCGGCGACTCACGTTTGGGCCCCCCAATGACACCTGGATGATCTTCCCATCCGGCCCTTGCACGACCGAGTTTCCTTGCAAGTACTGCACAGCCGTGTCGAGTCCGAACTTCTGCGTGAGAGCGTACACCTCCTTTTGCGTGTGATTGTTGATCCAGGTGGCACCGAGCTCGATGATGCCTGGACCGCTCTTGCGCTTGACCGACCGAGACCTGCCGCCGATGGTGTCCTTGGCCTCTAGCACGACGGCCTTGAGCCCGGCCTGCTGGAGTTCATAGCCGGACATGAGACCTGAGAAGCCCCCGCCCACGACGACGACATCCATCTCGACCGGCTTTTCGGCCACGGCGGCACCGCTCGTGACGGGCATGCTAGACAGTAGCAGAATGAGGCGGGATGCGATCCCACGCAAGGAGAGTCGATGAACCATGTTGCTGAGGGTTACTCTGATGCAGGCCAAGTTGTGCAAGAAAGGTGCGGTTAACGAGGAGTTGAGACGCTTTGCCTTGGAGTTGTGTCTCTCCTTTCTTCCTCTGCCCAGGATAGGTAGCTGTGGTCTTTATACCCATCTTTTGCACATCCATCTTGAACTTCTGGACATTCCAAAAAAAAAGACGTGGTCTTGTCGCTATTCCGGACCCTTCATCTCTGGCCACGAGCATCCAAGGGCTGCAAGGCGCGGCTAGATTGATGGCGCCGAGACAGCAGGCTAGTAGCTCTGAGAGCCTGGAGCCGAGAGCCTGGAGCCAAGAGCGCGGCAAGCTGCACGCGTCGCTTTTCCAAAACCTTTCGACTCGGATTAGACGGATTCTGGAAGGATTGCAACGCCAACCGCGCTCTGCAGCATCCCAAGCACAAGAGTGGCCTTGGCGATCGGACTAACACACGTACCCGTAAGCCCAACTTGCGCGCTCTGCAGCTCCGTCTGCATCAGCCGTTCCCCAGGAATTGCATCGACGTTCCCATTTCCCTACCGGCTTCGCTCCGAAATTTCGGTATTAATAGCGCTTGGATGCACACACCGCGCTTGGTTCAGAGACGGCCCCTGAAAGCATGATGGCATCATCCCTCAGTCCACATCCACGTCCACGTCACTCCCGGTCGCGGCTTGGGTGCCTCACTTGCCGATCACGAAAGAAGAAATGCGATCAGGTCAAGCCGCGCTGTGCAGGCTGCCGCCGCAACCAGATCTTTTGCGACTGGCCGTCCGGCAGCAACAACCCACAACGCGAAGGCACATGTAGCCAGGTCGGGATTCTCGCCGCCGCCGCAGCAGCAGCAGCAGCAGCAACTGGTGCTCCGCCACCAAAAGTGACATTCCACATCTCGACGCCCGCTCCCAGTCTGTCCGCCCACCTCGGACCTGAGCGCGCATGCAGCCTCACGCCGCAGTCGTCACTCCTCCTCGGGCACTACCTCCGGGAGACGGCAGCGCACTTTGCCATGCTGCCACTGAGGGACAACCCCTTCGTCACCATCCTGTTGCCGCTCGCCTGCGCCGACGACCTGCTCATGCACGCCATCCTGGCCTTCAGCGGCAGCCACCTGGCGTGCAAGGAGCCAGGCAGTCCAGTCGCCACGGCCACCGAGCTGCACTACGCGCGGTTGATTGGCGGGCTGCGGAGCGAGCTGGCTCGCCTACTACGAGAAGGGGAATCAGGCGAGCAGGCTGTGAGGCTGCTCCCGATCTTGATGGTGGCCTCACACTACGAGGTAAATGTGCTTCGTGGAGTTGGGCGTCTTCCTGCCTGGACTAAAACGACGTGTCTTGCCTGCAGGCCATCTCTGGCGACGCCCAAGGGGCCATGTTCAGCCACCTTCGGGCTTGCCGCTCGCTCATCATGTCGTTAACGGGTCCCAACGGCAGCGGCAAGAGCCTCCCGCCCAGCATCATGCGCGACTCCTTGGGCTTCAGCATCGAGCTGTACACCTACATTTCTGTCAACAACATGCTAACATACCAAGGCCACCTCGCCGACGCCGACACGGCCTCGGATCCTTTCGTCGTGCCCCTGGAAGACATGGCCGCGTTCCCAACCTTTGGCGCCCTGTTTGCCGGCGGCCACGAGCTCTTCCGGCTGGTGCCCCAGGTCTCCCGGCTGGCGTCGCGGCGCCTGGCCCAGGAGACGGACCCTCCCACGCCGCCCAGCAGCACGCTCCAGGCCGCGCACGACGACTTGCTCGCGCGCATAACCTCGTGGACGATGCCGCAGCAGCCGCGCGCCGCCGAGACGGCGTCCGAGTGGGGCGACCGGGCCACGGCGGCCGAGGCGTTCCGGCAGGGCCTGCTGACATACCTCGCAGCGGCGGCGGGCGGGTCGCGCGTGGCGTCGGACGCGGGGGCCATGGGCGCCATCGGGCGGTGCGCGGGCGCCTTCTACGGGCACGCGCTGCGCCTGCAGCTGGCGCCCGCGCCCTACACGGTGTCGCTCATGTGGCCGACCATGATGGTGGGCTCGTGCATGGTGGACGCGGCCCAGCGCGAGACGCTGGAGCGCGGGTTGCGGCGCGGCCGCTTCGCCATGCGCCACCTCGGCGTCATGGCAGACGTGCTGCGGCTGCTGTGGGACGACCCGGACCCGCGCGCCTTTGGGCCGAACGGGCTGCGGTTGATCATGAGAAAGCACGGCATCACGTTTGGGGTGGTGTAGCGCGTTATTTGTTTGGCAAATAAAAATAATAATAAAATAAAAAAAGTTCAAAACAGGATTCGACGATTGTAAATATGCTGTCCCATCGCTTCGCTATGATTAAACCCAAAAATATGCAAAGATCCAAAAAGAAATGGGAGCACAGGCTCGCTCCTCCGGGTATAATAGAGCCTCCTTTCACATCTATGGCGGCAATGGGTAGGAATCTAGGGCGGCTGTCGTGTGTGCCGGCCCGAATGAACAATGAAAACAGTAGTCTGGGGGTAGTTATTCTGTCATGGTGCTTCTTAGAATCCAGACGCGCGATCCCACCGTGGGAGCAAGTCGTGTCTGGCCGTCGGGTGGGTTGCACTGAGGGCTGTGGTCGCCCAAGCCACGCCACAGCGCATCAGCCGAGCGGCTCGCGTGGCGGCGGGTAAAGGAGGCTGTAGCAGTCGGCGGATTGCCTCCTTATTTCCACGAGCCGTCCTTCTTAATACCCCAGTAGTACAGCAGGCCCATCAAGACGAATATTGTGATGACTGGTGAGAATTAGTGTGTCAGCAAAGGACCGAGCCAAAGATTTTGGCGCTGCCGCGGTGTCGTCACGCACCAACTGCTATCGTCTCGACGGTAAAGTGGCTGATCTCGCGCTTCATGAGCATGTGCGCGGTGGAGCCGGCCTCGGCCAGCCCGCGCATCAGGAGCTCGTTGCTCCTGACCGCCAGGAGGTGGGTGTCGAGGGACGATTGTATGGGCGCCATGATTATTAGAGTTGCCGGTTCGGGGTTGTCGATATTACAAGGAGACGGTCCTGCAGAGAGAGTATTTTTTTTTTCTTTCTTTTGCTGTTGTTTGGTCGTTCGGCCAGCGATGGGAAGAAGTATCAACAGCGAGAATGGAAAGCAAAGTCTGCCCAGCAGCTCGGATAAATTGTACAACGGCGACCAGGCACCGGCTCGGCTCTTCTTTTTTGGCGAGAGTTGAGGGATCAAAACCGGGAAACGTGAAAGAAGGGAATGCAAGACGAGTGGTGGTAGAAATGGTTATATCACACCCGACGCCCCCTTTCCTGTCTTGGCTTGGCCCTTGGCCCTCCTCTTTTTTTTTCTTCTTCCTTATTCCTCCTTTGGTCCTCCCCTGGGCTGGGTCCCGTCGTCTTATCCATCGGCCCACGGCGGCGGGACCCATGTATGGACAGGGGCGTAAGCTTCTTTTTCTCGGAGTGGGTAATGCTTCCATCATCCACCGACGACGGGGGGACAACATGCCAGCTTGCCTGCGCTGACCAATCGACAAACTTGTTGATCCTCGTGGCAGACTTTTATCCGCCCGGGGTTAGGTTTCGCTAAACCGTATTTCCCATCTGTGGCCACACTCGTTCGTGCCAAGGTCGTTCGTGAACAAGACAACAACGGACGATGGGAAAGTCGGGCGCTTATGCCCGAGAACCACTCACCAGTCGAGGGCTGGCTAGAGCGCCCAGAATCCAGCAAGCAGCGTTTCATGGTGGGCTTATTCGAGGTCTCAGGATGTCGCAGGCCTGGTGGTGGACCCTGTTGGTGGGATGGGGTGGAGACGTTGCTGGGAGGATTCGCGGACCAAGCCGCCCAGAGAGCCGCAGTCAATTCAATCTTGACATCAATCAATCCTACAGCTACAGCGGGCAGCCCCTGCCATTTCTGCAGCACCTGGGCACCATCTGGGCACAACCCATCCCCTTCCAGGTTATCAATCCACCAACCACACAAGCTTGTCTGCCCATTTCCCATTTGATCCCAGATGCAAAACAGCCAGCCACATGTTGTTGCTGTCTCGCCTGCGCTTTCCTCCTGGGCGTCCTGGCATTCCTGGGCTCGGCCGTCTTCTTGGCGAATCATCTGTATGCGTCGAGCCGAGTCCTGGATTTAAACGGCCAGACCTCCAGGCCCCCACGGCCCACCCCCACCCCTGCCCCTTGCCGGCGCCCATGTCCCGGCCGCGCCCCGCCAAGGCAGATCCGGACTCCCGCGGCCAGCGGTCACGGCAGCTGCTCTTGGGCAGCTGCTGTCACGGGCCAGGCCAGAATTCCAGGCCACTCGGGGTGCTACGTCTCACCAGGCGCGCGCGGCAGAGTCGACCCTTTTTTTTTTTTTTTTTTTTTTTTTTTCCTTCTGGTGAGTATTGTCAGTCTCGGGGTCTCCACCGTGCCCGTGTCCGATGGCATCTTTCCAGACGCCGCTTCCCAGTGCGGCCAACGGAATCGGCTACTAGCCCAGTGGGCGCGAGCTCGTTCATCGCCAAGACTCTCCGAGATTGTCATGCATCTATCAGACACTGGACCGCCCTGCGAATCAAACGCCGTGCTCGATCCATCGACTTTTCAGCAGCGTCTGATGCTCGCTGGACCCGAGAGAGCCGTCGTGCCATGACGCCGGGGAGGCCTTGTCGGAACCCAATCGCCGTCGATGAACCACATGGATGGATCCCCCGTCCAAATGCTCAGGATTTGTTGCCCGAAATAAAAAGTTGCATGCAGCAAAGCCAAAGTCACAAGCCAATGTCCCGCATGACGCAATCCAGAACCTGCAGAGATATCCAAAAAAAAAAAAAAAAAAAAAAACCCTCCGGGGTATCGAATGCAACCTGTTATCCAGAAAAGAGAAAACCATCTCAGAACGCCCTAAACACGACCCAAGTGTCGCCTTCTCCAAAGATGGTGGTAGTTTTTCCTATCCACCCTAGGCCCTGCCCTTTGCCCCCTCCCCTCCGCGCTCACCGTCCTGGCCTCTTGCTCGGCCACGTCCTCCAGGATCCGCCAGTCAAACACGCCCGCGTACTCGCACCGCCCACCACCTGCGCCGGCGCTCTCGCCCTCTTGCCTCAAGGCCTTGAGCCGGGTCAGGAAGGACGCCGAGGCCTCCTCGCGGCGTGGCTCGACAAGCACCATCAATCGGGGTCGGTTTGCTCTGCGGCGTTGGGCTCTCTCCTCGATTAGTGCCGCGGCTGAGGAGCGCCTCGTGTTGGGGCTGCCGTCGCACGGTGGTGCGGGTGCGGCTGACTGCGACAAATATAGCCGGCTCCATCTGTTCATGTCCGTCTCGAACGAGTAGACACCATGGCCCTGTAGAAGATCCTCCGTCACCCAGGGGGTTTGTGCAATGCACGGCGCCAAAAGGAAGACATATTCACCGAGCGTGCAGTCTTTGCCATGGTGTTTGCACACCCCAGCGCTACCAGCTAGTGGGAGACCCTCGACATCCAAAGGTAGGGGATGCCGTGCTCCGCCGTTGGAAGCATGCTTAACGCCAGAATATTCGCCGGCAGACGTCACGGTGCCTACCCCACCCGCAGTCTGATGTGCGGGCACCCCAAAGGGCGACTCAGGCAGTCGTGGTTGTTGACTCGACTCCGCTTGTTGGACGGGTGACTTCTTGCCGTCCGGATTTTGCCCGACAGGGTGTGAATTGGTCCTGTCCGAAGACGAAGCCGTCATGTCCTCAAGCGGCCCTCGGCGCGATGTAGAGGGTGGAGGGTGCGACTGCGTCATCGTCGGCGACACAGCGCCGCTCTTGTCTTCGGATCGCGAGCGCCGACGGAGTTTTGGCCCTGGAGGGGACGCCGTCACCGTGTGGGGACCGTCTCCATCCTGGCTGGGGCGTTTCCGCTGGTTTCGGCAAGGCGACAGCGTCAGGTCGACGACGGGAGCGGCATTTGGAGACTTAGCTGTGGACCAAGCGTTTGTTTCGTCGCTCGTTGCGTCCCCTTGGTGGTGGGGCGACGACGGCAAGGCGGGCGACGCCGGAGCGGGTGGGACATCCCCTAACCTTGCCGAAAATAGACTCTCTTGCGACGTCGTCTGCCTGGAGCAGCCAGTCTGCTGGCTTATCGCGTCCACCGCCACGCCTCCTGGGTCGGCCGCCTCCAGCCTGGTGATCCAGTCAACCAGCTCCTGGCTGTCGTCGGGAGCTGCCGCCTCGTTCTCTTCCCGAGCAAGGCGCTGGAGCTCTTCGAACTCGATAACGTCTCTCCACGCCCGGTCGCAGTGAACCTTGGTGACCATAGGGAAGCGCGGGGTGTGGTATGAGACATTGCCCTCGCGTATGAACGAGAAACAGCGAATGTCGAAGACTGGTGGACTGGGAAATATAACCGAGGGTCGCTTGCCATCGTCGATTCCCGGCTCGAAGTGAAGGGTGGTGGTTTTGTTTTTCTCTGGCTGGAGGCTCTCAGGGTTGACGTACAGTCGAAAGTGTTCAATCTGTGACGAGTTCAACTCGACCACATTTGTCACCATGAACCTCGGCTTCGCGTTGCACCGTAGCACATCTCTCTTGTTGTCGAGGCATCCAACGTAAAAGTGCGTCCACTTGAGCCCGGGCAGGTGGTAGGACTTGGCCGCCACCGGGTCATAGCGAGCGCCCACAACGGCAAAGTCACCGACGTCCCCGAAGCCACCAATGTATTCCTTCTTCAGCTTGATAGCGGAGCAGCTGTACGGTCGCCGGATCCCGCCAAAGTCAAAGTATGGATCGTCTGGCTTCAGTACGAGTCCTTCTTCCCGCGCGGTGATGCAGCGGGCGAAGGCCTGCCTCAATTTGAACGCCCCAAGGTGCCAGCCAAAGTCGATAACCTCCCGCTTGACTAGCTCAGCCACTCCAGGTGTCGCGATGACTAGCTGGCTGAGCCGGCGGAAGCGCTCAGAATGGCACGCTCCGAGGAGCGACTCGTCGTCGACCACGAGAACATCGTAATAGACGATCATCAACTTCTCCCACGGGTGTGCCTGGGAGTCTAGAGCAGATCTGTGGAAGAATGAGCCCGAGCGCGAGACATGTTTGCGGATCTTTTCGAAGGGCAAGATCTTTCCATCCCTTTGGTTGTATACCACCAGCTCTCCCTCGAGGATGCAGCCCTTTTGCAGCCGACATTCTTCCTTGCCGAGAGCCAACGAGGCAGAGATAGCAGGGTGGAGATTCGCCCTGTCCCGGGTGCTGTCCTTGCCGCTCTTGGAAAAGATCTGGATACAGTTGGCCCCCTTGGACAGGTCGATATGGACCTGGCAATACTCGCCATCCATCTTCTTCTCGACGCTCATGCGCCCATGGCCCATCTGCAGGCAGTGCTTGATACTGCGGCCCTTGAGCCAAGGCTGGCGGCCAACCTTGACTCCGAGCATGGGCTTGAACTGCCCCGCGAGCTCTGCGGCGGTCAGCGCGGGAGTTGCCATCCGGCTGGCCTCTCTGGCATGTCGGAGGCGGTCGATCGCAGTGGGTAGGTCGTCGTAGATCTTCAATAAAACAGGAAGAAGGGTGTCAAGAAGCCTGAGAACAGGGGCCGAGTCTAGGTCGACGGGCGAGAAATCCTTTAGGATAAGACGGGTAAGCCATTTCGCAGGCATGGGATCCAGGCGCCGGTAAAGAGACTGGAGTGGCGCGTGAACATCGCGTGCTTTGGGTGAGCCCCGCAACGATGATCTCACGGCAGGGGAGCTGAAGCGGGACTTGGCCGCGATAGCATGGAGGGTGGCATCGATCTCCTCGACGCAAACGGGCCTTTCAGAGTCCAGAGAATTGGGTGTCTCGGCCAGGATGGCCTCGACAGACTCGGCCAGGTCTCGGCCGCTGCCAGGTCTCTCATATTGCTTCAGCTGCTCAATGCGCGAACGCCCGAGGCACAATGCACGGGCGACGATGTTGCCAAGAGACCTGGCTTGGATGCCGTAGACACGGTCGGGTCGACGAGCAGGGAGCAGGGTGGACGCGACGGCGCAGAGGTCAACGTCATTTCGGTTCAGGTCGTTCTGGTGGCAGACAAACCACTGCCTGATGATGCTGGCGTCGGACTTGACGCGAGAGGGCGCATTGTCCTCGAGCAGTTGGAGAAGGTCGCATATATAGACAAAAGGAAACCCCATAGTGATGAGATGAGCGCGGAGGCGATGACATGATCGCAAATATTGAAAGACGCGCTCAGGGCTATATCTATCTAAAGTATGGAAAAGAGAGCAGGAAGGGCAAAGCAGGCAACAATGAACCCATTGGCCCGTCACGCAAAGGGTGGTCAGCTGCGCCGCGCCGCAACAAAGGAGGATGCCGAGTTGGTGATGCCTGGCGCCAGACGCGTGCTTTAACCGAGGGGGAGGGGTTTGGCGCGCGCAATCACGTGTATCAGCCCTGGGTCCACTCATCTGTTGCCTGGCCTGGGCCCACCTGGCTTACCCTGAGGGCGGCACCTCCAGTTGTAGAGGATCACCTCTAGCTTTATTTGCCGTCAGCAAGTCCATCCTTGACGACGCTCAAACCAAGAGCAGTCACTCGAAATAGTGCCAGCAAACAGCGATCTCTATCACATGGCAAACAAAAGGCATTCCAGCCCCTGGGCCCCTTGATGTCATCGCGATAACCGGCTTGTTTATGCGATTGCGTTGCTGCGCAGATGGACTGAACAGAGTCGTCCTGCCATTGGCCTAGGGCGTATCGAAATGGAAGAATTCTCAGGTGCACAGCTTGAGGACCTGCAAGCCGCGCTCTCCTTGCCTCGAGGGCCCCTATCATTCTCGGATTGGTGTTTTTTTTTCGTGCCTCCCGCCACCACCTTGGCACCCTTTCATCAATGTGCACGCTTTGTTTTCTCGTCTTTGCCATCATGCGTCCATCTCCCATTTTTGCGCCGACCGACCGGAGCGGCCTCTCCATAGTTAGCCATCATCTGTGCGTGCACCACGGTCGCGTTGGTACTTTTAGCGAGCCTATCATTATTTCGAGGCTCCCGTCCGTGGGGGCGGTGGCCGTAGTAGCCTGCGCAAGGAGTTTCTAGTCCAGCTACACCATCGCCATCACCACTCCTACTACTGTCGGTGGGCACGAGTGAGATTCTACGCTTCCTTGCCAATGCCGGGCCCAACTAAGCCTGCCCGGTTTCTGGCCCTGGACAATGTCGACAACCCCAGCCTGAACCACTTCCAGTATTTCCCTTCGAGGGCTTACGGGTCAATCCTCGCCACATCGCAACTTCGCGGCTGCCTCTGCTTCAGCACAACTAGGCATCAGCATCTCGCAAGGTCTATCCGGCGCAAGCAACGAGGCTAGGGGAAAGCGAGCGCGAACAGATCCCGCCCTAATGTTGGCTCACATGTGCTTTTTTTTTTTCTCGCAAGCTGGCGGCCCTGGTCCAGCTCCTCGGGAGTCGATGACTCAAGACATGGCCAAGATTGACGCATCTGTCTCCTTATCCTGTCTTGCTGAAGGAGGGAACGAAACACTGCGAAAAGGGGCGAAATAAGTGATCCGCCGACCACGACAAAGTTGCAGTGCCCCTTTGCCCAAGTCGGAGGTGAAATCTTACTATTTCACGATGTCGATGCGGGCGGGAGCCCAAACGAGGGGGTTTTACACAACATAACGACCTGGCAAAGTCTGTGAGTATGTGGTTTGATGGCTGAAAACGAAGCCTGCACAGAGGGCGGTGACAGGGCGGGCATGTCGGAGGCCAGTGGCATGTTTTAGGCATGCCCGCCCAAGTGGCAGCCTGGGGACCCCCGATCGGCCCCTAACGTACAGGGCCCAGGGATCACAAACCCTAAGTGCGGTGGATGCAAAATACATTTTCTTCCTGAGAAAACCAAGCCAAACTGATGTACCACCAGGATCCACCGTACTAAAATTTGTGGTCCCTGAGATCTGTAGGTACCTTTCCGCATAGCTAGGGCTTTAGAGTTCAGGGGAGTACACGGGTGCGCGGGGAGGCCGCAGAGGGAGGCGCAGAGCAGCCGGTTCAGGGATCGCGTCTAAATATAACGTGGAAAGGAAAGGGGTAAAAATGTCGCGATGCTTGGCTTGGTATATATTCTGCTGGAGACTGCCGATGGGAGACTTCATTTTGTTTTCCTCCTTAGCCTCTGCGCTTCACTCTCATTCACTTACCTTGTCGACTCCTCTCGCCAGACGCCAGCCGCCATCCGCCGCCATCCCCACGCCAAGCACCTCTAGTTTGTAGCAGACAATCACTCTTCAGTCAACATGAAGACCGGACAGGCATTTTTCGTCCTTGCGGCAACGGCGGTCGCTGCGCTGAACATGGAAGGATTCAGTCCCGAGAAGGGCGTCCAGCCCGAGTTCAGGACCTTCTACGAAGCGTGGGTGGCTAGAATCCCGTCAGCCCCTGGATAGGGACATCAACTGACAAAACCCCATGCTTCCAGACTGGTGGGCCAAGCAGACAACGCGACGGCGACGACGTCATTCACCGACTTCTTCACCGCCGACGGCCATCAGACGACGCTCACGCTTGACTGCGTGGGGCCCGAGAAGATCCTCAGATGCAAGCAGGGCTTCCTGCCTCCCGACGGCAGCAAGACTCTGACGGTGAGCTTGCCTTGTTACCATCTGACTGCAAGAGCATAGATTGACAGGGGCCAACTTTCTTCAATTAGCATTTCCCCGGTAGGGCCTTCATCTTCAGCAATAGCGCCAACGCGACTGTGTACGAGGTTCAAGGGCGCATCGAGCACAACTTTGTCAAGGGCAACTGCTCGCAGAATGTGTAAGTCATGGGAGATGACGGCATGACTCCGAGACTTGGATTGAAGAAGAACTTTCTTGCTGACCTTTCTCCAGCTACAAAACTCGCTACACAATTCTCAAGACCGACCAGCGCGTCGAGGCTGCACCAAACCTGAACCCCAAGCCGCAGCACCAAGTCACGTCATACCACGACTACTTCATCGACCCGCCTGTTGTTCCCAACGGCGTCCCCTGCGACAGCCTCAAGGGTAAGGCCAAGACAAAGGCATGAGTGTTCTGCTCAAGCCGGTAGGAATATGGAGGGGAGAGAGATAAAACAAAGTGGCATGTATTACCAATTATGACGATAGACATGGAAATGCAAGCGAAATTGTTCAGCGACCAGTACCCTTGAGAATGTCGTCGGCAATCTTCTCAGCCAGCGCGTAAATCGTGGCCTGCGGGTGTCCCGGCGGCAGCAGCGCGAAGCTGCTCGCGTCCACGACCCTCAGCCCCCTGACGCCGATGACGCGCGCGGCCGAGTCGACGACGGCGGCCGGGTCGTCCACCCGGCCCATGCGGCAGGTGCAGGCAGCGTGCCAGAGCGTCATGGCGGAGGCGCGGATGGTGGCGAGCAGCTGCTCGTCGGTGCGCACGGCGGGGCCGGGGAAGTACTCGACGTCGTCGGCCAGGACGGGCCGCATGGCGGGCGAAGCAAAGGCGGCGCGGATGCGGCGGTAGGCGGCCACGGCCACGGCGGCGTCGGTCGCGTCCGTCAGCCAGCGCGGGTCGATGGCGGGGTGGTCGGCCGGGTCGGCCGACTTTAGCGTCACGGACCCGCGCGACAGCGGCGCCATCAGCCCGGCAAGGATGGTGGCGTACTGGTGGCCGTCGCGCGGCTGCGACGTCAGCAGGCTCTTGAAGTCGCCGATGTAGCCGGCCGCGCTGAGGTACTCGATCTCGGGCCAGTCGGGCGGGAAGGCCGCGTCGAGCGCGGCGCCAGCGGCTGGCGACACCAACTCCCGCGGCGCCTTCTCCCATGCCAGAAAGTCAGCGGTGGGGCTAGATAGCGGGCCGCGCGCGAGAAGCGTGTAAGGGCCCGCGAACTGGGTGGCCAGATAGACGGGGTCGTTGGCGAGGCGGGTCAGCGTCTGCACGCGCACGCGCCACGACGGGCCGAACATGACGTGGTCCTCCATGCCCTGCCCGACGCCCGGGCGGTCGGCGACGACGGGGATGCTGAACCTTTCGAGGTGGGCGCGCGGCCCCACACCCGACAGCATCAGCAGCTGCGGGCTCTGCAGCGCCCCAGCCGACAGGATCACCTCGCGCCGCGCCCGCAGCGTGTAGCTGGCGGCCGCGCCGGCCTTGCCTAGCGGCTCGGGCGAGACGACGACGCCCGTGGCCCTCTTGTCGCCGTCGAACAGGATCTTGCGCGCTAGCGTCAGCTGGTAGACCTTGAGGTTGCCGCGCCCGGCCGCGGCGGCCAGGAACGACGTCTGGCTCGAGTCCCGCTTCGCGCGGCCGGGCTCGATGGTCGTGGCGCAGTACCCGGAGCCGGCGGCCTGGCCGCTGTTGAAGTCGCGGGCGGGCGGGATGCCGATCTGTTCCAGGGCCGGGCCGAGCCAGGTGCTGAAGGGCTGGGCGTAGTTGGGGTACGACACGCGTAGCGGCCCGCCGGCTGGCGAGAAGGCCGAGGGGTCGAAGCTGACCGTGGCGTTGGGGAAGCGCGTGGCGCGCGGCGGGTGGAACTGGACACTGCGCTCCAAGTAGGGCAGCAGGCTGTCCCAGCCGTAGCTGTCGTCGCCCACGGCGTCGGCCCACTTCTGGTACGACTGCTTGGTGCCGCGCTGGTAGATCATGAAGTTGCGCGCCGACGAGCCGCCCAAGCACTTGCCCCGCGCGTAGTGGATGCTGCGCCCGCCGAGCCCCTCCTGCGGCTCCGTCACCATGTTCCAGTCCACCAGCGGGTTGGTGTCGAGCGGGCTGGACCCTGTGAACAAGATGTCGCCCGCGGGGGTCTGGCCGATGATGGGGTTGGTGACCTGGTAGAAGGTGCCGCCCTCGACCACGGCCACGGTGAGGCTGCTGTTGGCGGTCAGTCGGTTGGCCAGCGTCAGCCCTGCCGTTCCGCCGCCCACGATCACGTAGTCGAAGACGGCATCCTTGCCCTCCTCTCCGGCGAGGCTGCCAAGCTGGCGTTTTTGTTCCTGGTGGAGTCGGGCCTCCGCATCGACCAGCGGTGTTGCTGCCGCCAGCGCGGCCAGCCCCGGAACAAGGAGGACTTGGAGAAGCATTTGGTGTTATCGAGTTGGGCCCTGTACGTAGATAAAGACTTCTTGCAGAGACAGAGCCTGTTAGAGAGACGTCGGCTGCGTTGATTATATACACATTCCCGGGTCCGGCTCGTGTCATGGACACCCATGATGCGTCAAGGTTCGTGGTGCCATTCCACTGCGGCCGAGGCTCCTCCGAGCCTTGTAATTGATTTTGTGGTCTGTTTTCGGCGGGAATAATAAAGCTATTAAAACCTTGTCCCGCTCAGGCAACAGATCACCTCGCACTACACCGAAGCGGTGCTAGCCCCTGATCTTGGCGACATGGCGCCCGCATTCGATCTGCGAACCGGGGCCGAGGAAATTTCGTATTCGGAACCGCCGCCACGATCCCGCCAAACAACTGCGTCTCTGATATGGCGTGCACCCGGGACAAGCGCCGCTGCCGAGGGGCCCAACAACGTGCTCTCCGCATCAGTCACAGGCCAATCAATGTAGCGCAGTCATTCTAGGGCTAGTCACAGGGAGAGAGATCCTATCTATAGAGCTAGCTGGGATGAGGATACCATCCAGACGCTCGCTTTCTGGTAGACAGGAGGGTTTTGGTATACGGTGATCGACTGGGGGAAGCAGCCGAGTTCTATGGTGATGGACAGGCGCACATGGCGAGACGAGATATCACAAAGGTGACGATACTCCTATCTACGTATATAGCTACCATTGTCAAGAACGCCACATGGGCGAAGGACCAGGCTCCGGCTCCGGCATAAGGTACTGAGCCCTCATGCCATACTATCAGAGAACAGCATGGACCTGAGGCAGTACCCAGCAGCTCTCTCGCCTTGTGGGCTACCCTTCCGCTCGACGGGGCAACACGGTGCATGAAGCTCCTTGCTGCCTGGACGACGTCCCACTCTCCTCTCGGTGGCGACAAACGGCCTCTCCCAGCGTGTCGGCACCCACCATCTCCTCACGCGTCAGCACCTAGCAACAGGCTGCCAGACTCCCGCCGCCCCATCACGAAGGAGAGACGTGAAGGCAGCTGCGTCTCCACTCTAGGTCGCGGGAGTTGTTTGCTTCCCCACCCACCTACCGATGTAAACAGCTCCCCCTCCTCTTCTCCCACCCCGACGGTCTCTCTTCCTTCTTTCCTCCTCCACCAACAGCCAGTCTCGGCAGATCTTCCTCTCTCGCCTTTCCATCAGGAACGAAGCCTTGGCTGAACGACCTTGCATCTCCACCAACAACGGACTCTTCGCTACCTCGACCACCCCTTTGCATCTCCTTCTACATCGCCAGAAACCGCTGCGCGGCCGCCATCTACACGCCGACCTAGCGTCCGCCTCCGTCATCACACGCGTTTACCTATCTTGTTGTACTCGCTTGCTCTCATCCTCATCTACTATCTTGCTCTTCCATCCTTGCCCTTCTATCTTGTTTGGCCATCTTGCCCTACCAACTTGCTGTCATCTTGCTTCCTCTTGTAAGTTTCCGATAACTCTCACCAGCTATCAGCGCAGACACCTTTCCGTAGCCCCCCTAGCTAAACACCAAGCCCAGGCAACCTCTCCACGACAGCCTTACTACCACCCGAGAGCATCTTGCATTTGCTCACCGATATCGGCCTCTCATCAGCGCGAAAAGAGCCCTGAACCTCGACTTAGTCTCATCGACAACCATGGTGATGTCGCGCCGCCAGGCTTTCAAGGACAAGCTTCGTGCTTCGTCGAATACCCTCCGCGTGCAGACCAAGCACCTCGGCTGGAGGCTCAAGAGCAAGGCCGGAGACGTGATCCGCGCTGTCTGCAACGCGGGGTCTGTGGCTGCCACTGCGGCTGTTCCCATGCCGTTCATGCCCATGGCGCCGATGGCCCCCATGCCCGCCATGCCCGCGCGTGGGCCGCGCAACCCCCTTCCCGACTTCCGCTTCCCGCGCGAAGTTTATCGCACTGAGCACCTGGTTCAGGTCCCTAGCGGTGTCTAGAACACACCGCCTAGGGAGCCTGCCACAGCTGCTCCGCCACATGATGAGTCTGCCACGGCTGCTCAGGAAAATAATGAGACCAATAGCTTCGAATACACTCCCAGCCTCCTCTATGACGAGGATGCTGCAGAGAGCAATACGACGGAAGCCACCAACTCTCCCGGCCATCCCGAGTCTCCCGGCAGTCCTCTGAGCTCTGAGGAGAAGATCGGCCAGAAGCTGATCAAGGTCGCCGCCGCCCGAGATGCCCAGGCCACCGACAAGCCTCGGCTCCAGGTCCGCGTCCGGAGCGGCTCCTCAACCACTCGCAGCGGATCCTTGGCTACCCGCAGCCGGACTGTCACTCCCACGACACCTGTCACGCCTACCACTCCCATGGCTCTGACATTCAGCGCCGTGATAGTCACCTTCGAGTATGCGCCCATCGAGGCAAGCTCCGAGGTCACTGCCCACGACAAGCAGCTGGGCAAGCCTCACCGCACAGGCCGGATCTTCAACAAGGAAGACATCGCCCTCATGGAGCAGATCATGGCCCATGAGGCATATCTGGCGCGATGGGCATCGCCCGAGGGAGACGATGGCTCCGAGCCCGACCTGGAGGGTTTTGACGCCAACGACATTGAGGAGGTCTTTGGATCTGCGGTCGGCTACGACAACCGGGATGAGTACTACGACGAGATCAGGAAGTACCTGACCCCATCGCCGGACTCGCAGGAGGAGGCCGACAGTTACTCCACTGGCGAGGGCGATGAGGACATGGTCATGAGGGAGACAGCTCTGAGCCTGCCGACCAACGGCAGCACCGCCAAGCCCGGCGCCGACAACACGGTTGGCATTCTGGACACCATCTTGGAGGCCGACTTCGAGGGCTCGGAGGCATCCCTTCTCGAGGCCGCCCTAGAGATCGCCGCCTAGTCACGCCAGGTACTGATGGCGGTCGCAGTCAATGGCCCTGCCACCAGGCCTCAACTGGATCATCTTACGAGCAGGTGCAAGCATCGCAGTCCGTCTTTGGGATACAGGCATGACGCATCATGTCTCGCTGAGAACACTGCCCTTGTTCTTCTGACGATGCCATACCTCTATCTCTTACCTTTTCCCGCATGGGAGGAAATTTTCCCCATCTTTCGCCAAAGTCTTGGAGCAGACTCAGACATTGCGCATCACTATCTAGCACTTCTCCCTTTTCCCATTAACTTTAGCACCTCTCTCATTTCTAGCCAATATCTTGGAGCAGACTCAGATATCGTGCATCCCTGCCTAGCATTTCTATCTTGTCCTACCAATCTGGACATCCTGCTCAATTTGGCCAACATCTTGGAGTAGACTTAGACGTTGAGCATCATATTCGGGATCGCTTCGCTCACACATAATATTTGCTTTTTTTTTGTCTAATTTTCCCCTTGTCTTTTGGCGGTTTTGTTTCGCTTTCGTATCAGCACATCGGTGTGAGCTGGAGGGCGGAATACCATATTGTATTGCACGCCCTGTTGGAGACTTTGTGTGCTCGTTACCACCTGTCAACTTCCCCTGTCTTTTATCTCTCTCGGTTTGTTTACTGTCGGTTTGGCTTGGTGAGGCTTGGGGAACAGGTAATTGTCACGTTTTTGGCAGCCGCTTTGTTGACGGCACCGCTTTGTGGTGGGCAACACAGTATCCATGTGTTATCTCTTTCATAATGCCTTCTCACCATAGCAGTCAGGCACTCATCCATACCTGAGTGAAGCGTAAACAATGAAGCACAGGTGAAAAAAAAGCCAACGTGAATCCCATTTAGGGTATTGTCCCATTTCATAGTCCAGAAAAGAAGCATGTATAGATCGCAGAGTGTCGACTCCCTTGATCCTATTCAATTTCCATCTCTATCAGCAACCCACACAGCTAAACACTCTAGATCAACCAGCCCACATACAACCGAGCAACCCTAGCCTCAGAACTAGCAACACCCGGAATTCTCGCCAGAATACCCTTGACAACCATCAAGATGGCTCTCGCGATCTGCGGCGAGTGCGGCAAGGCCTACTCCCCGGTCACGGGCTGCCCTTGCAAGAACCCGCCGCCGGCTCCGGCCCCTTCACCCGCTTAACTGCCTTCGGCGGCCCAAGCGAGAATGCACCAGTCTTCTGCCCTTCTCTCGGTCAAGCCTCGGCACGGAAACAGTAATCGGTCCCACACTAGGATCAGACTACGCTAGCTTCCAGTGCAGGGCCTGGATATCTGGCGCTAGGCCCAGGGAGGCAACGTAGTGATGACTTCTTAGAGTAACCAATACTACCACTATCTAATCAGAATGCTAGACTTCAGCATTGCCCTCATTGATATCTCTTGCTTCTCATGCGAATACGCAGAGCTTGCGGACCCCAGTAATGGACATGCGGCGACTGCCGTGACCTCCTCTTATGCAGTCAGCTAGCCGCCCCCGCTTTTTTTCTTTCTTCGCCTGCGGCCTGCCCCCGCTCCTGCAGTCAGCGTCGCATTCACAGGTTTGATTTCTTTCCTCTTTCGAGCTGTGCAGCGGCTGGTTGCTTTATGAGCTGAACATAAATGGGAACCTCCGGCAACATCCGCGCAAGGCTGTGGGAACGGAGCTGATTGGCACCATTGCCGAGAATCGTAGGCTTTGGCGACCTCGCAGACGACCCTCTGCCACCGCATCGTACTTGTGCATTTCAAGATGAGGGGTTCCCACACTTTGTTAAAGTTTGCTGTTAATTCCTTGGAGATACGTGTTGGCCGAAAGGGGTTACCCGATGAATTATCCCTCAGCTTTGCAATTTAGGAAGGTCTTACAATCAGGGGCTGTGGAAGAAAGAGCAAGCTGCCTGTTCGACAAGGACACCTCGGATCGTAGGCCTTGCTGTTGTTTCCGGAACGGCCTCCTAACCGGCAATGTGCGTGTGTCGGACTTGGAGGGCCACCAGATCCCGTGTGCTTTGTAGCCAAGCGGTTGTCGGAGATTTTCGTGGAAACGCAAAGACAACTAGAGCCTGCGGAACTCCTAGAATTCGACTTCATCACAACACCCAAGTCGGCCATGATCCTCGGCCTTCTTGTCAGCCCCTCGATCCTGGTGGAGCGAATGTCGGCCCCTTCGCCTTTCCTCGGTGCCGAGCTTGGGCTTACGGATGACGAGCGTCCCAACGTTCCATTGCGAGAAAGGGATATGCTCAACAGGCCGCATAGTCGTATCACTCGCTCGCGCATATTCCGCCGGGCGGGACAGTGGTGTAGACGCGGTTCTGCCAAGCGCGCAAAGACACGGGAAGGGAAGGTGTCACAATGCCATGGCGGACGTGCAAGCCGGAATTGCAAGCCGACAGCTGTTCGTTAACGCCAAGAGCCCAGAAACAGGATCATCTTTGGTAAAGAAAGAGATGCAGAGACGGCGTCGATGCGACATGTCAGCCTGGCTAGGTGTCTGCGTGTTAATTATCAGCATTATGGTGTGATTTGGAGGCTTGGGAACCAACGGGGAGGGGTAAACTTCCCGACTTTTATTGCCCAAGGTGTAAGCGAGCTGTAATATATGCAGCCCCAAAGCCCAGGGCAGAGTCTGTTGGGGAGCGCCAAGGTTGTGGTTCTCTGGTTGCAGGAGCTGCTGCACGATGTAATAGGCCGGCTGAATTCGTATACCTGGGAGTCGGCTCGGCAGCGGTGGGCTGACGCTCTCTTCCCCGCTTTCTCGCCCAGGCACTCAAGGCAGACCTGCACCTCGATGGCTTGACCGGTGCCCGGATTGGGAGAACAATAACACGCAATGGGGGTGTCGGCCATTCTGCACGTCAGACACTGGCCTTGGAAGTGACAGACGAAAATACGATGTGCCAAGCCGGCGCGGGCAGCCGACGATGTTCCCGTCAAGGCTGCATCGGGTGTCTCACTGTCTTGTAGAGAGCTACATCGGGTGTCTTGTAGAGAGCTATACGAGATCCTTCGTTTGTTCGCCGTCAAGTTCCAACAGGACCGGGCTGGATACCTCTATGTTGCTGCATCTCGGTCCATGAATGCACCAGCTCCCTCGGTGTATAAATATCCCAGAGCCCTCAACGTCTTCCTGCTTTCCTCTCTTCTCTCATCAGGCCGCACCCGCTCCAGCACAGCCAGCGCCAGACTTCATCCGCCAACCTGCCCTGCCAAAAGCCGCTTTCATTAGCCCTTTTTCCAACGCCCAAAATGAAGTTCTCCGTCGTCCTTCTCTTCGCCCTCGGTGTTGTCGCCGCCGTGATCCCGGAGGAGTCCCCCGTCGAGATCCGCGAGGTGGAGGGCGAGGAGGAGCTCCTGACCCGCGAGGAGCCCACCGATGATGCCCTGTTCAAGCGCCAGTGCTCCACCTTCACGTGCCTTTCGCCCGTTCGCATCGAGGCTGCCGCCTGCCGGTGCAGCCAGCGCAGCCCCTGCGCGCTCTACGCCTGCCGGGCCGGCGCTCGTGTATGTTTTGCTCCCAGCCGCCCCGGCCCGCTTTGCTAGTGCCGTTTTCCCGCGAAAGAGACCGCGATGCTAACGGCTCACCATGCTACACCTTAGGCCTACTGCGGTTCCGGCGTCACACGCTGCGTGCGTGCTTAACGGTCCCAGGACACGCCCGCTCAGTACCCGCCAAAGTCCGATTTTGTAAGTTGCTTCTTCAACGGTAGAGGGAGTATCTCGGCTGACAAGACAGCAGCTACTGCAGCTGGCGTATGGGGACCACATCGGGGGGTTACAAGCGACTGGAATGTGCAGGAGAAGCGGAAACGTTTTCTATGTAGGATTTCCTATCTTTCCACTCGCCCCAGTCCCTCCTTAGAAACAAATAAATAAACTACAGGCCTGTGAAAACTCTGCTGGCGAACGGCGGTACTCGGGAAAAGTAGCACATTGGCAGTCAGGCATACAAGGGGCCTCACAAACGTTGCAGGCACGAGGATAACGAACGCAATCTACCACATGGAGACGGGCATCCGAGAGCCTTTCCAACAATAATAGCACATGCGACAGCCTGGCCCCTGGTCAAACAATGGCATGAACAAAGGCTGGTCAATGCAGGAGTCGCTCTCCGACAAACACGCTGCCAATAAATGCCAAGGATGAGCAAACCAAGGAAACAATGTGGCTGGCGGACAGGCCGTCAATATAGGCTCGCACCACGGCGTCCGCGACCCCCTTGTCGGCCACGTCCAGGTAATCGATGCTGGCTGCGGCCTTCGTGATGATCTGCAAGGCGGTCCATGAAACATCAGCGCCTGTTTCTGGTCAGGGGTTTCGGCGCAGACGCCGAGGAGACATTTTGGTACTCACCTCATCGCGCATGGCAAGGTCGAAGCCAGCAAGCGCGAGCAGCGCATCCAGCCTCGCCCTCATGACTCCCAGCGTGACGGCGTTGACCGCGGCGAGGCCGAGGGTGCTGGCCACGGTGCTGACGAGGAAGAGGCCCGACATGGCGGCGGCCTTGTGCGACGGGTTGATGGTGGCCGCGATGGCCACAAAGATCACGGTCTGCACGATGCCGGTGCCCATGCCACCGGGAAGGATCTCCAGGGCCTCCCAGGCGCGCGTGTGGCCGTGCCAGCGCAGCAGGATGATGAAGTAGGCTGACGAGGACAGGGCGGTGGCGCCGATCAAGAGGAGCTTGTACCGACCGGTCCTGCGCAGCGAGAACATGGGGTAGCGTCAGTCATGCACTATACCGCGTTGGAAATTCGAAAATCATAGTAGACAAACCTTTTGATTACCAGACCGCCCAGAATAGCACCACAGGCGTTACCAATAAACGCAGGGACAAGAGAGGCGCCCGAGGCGGCATTGGACGACCTCTGCGTGACCTGAAAGTACAGCGGGACAGCAAAGGTAAGCCCAAACTGGGCGGCCGCCTGGGTGCATGCGACCAGGTACAGCAGCAGGACGTCGCGGTGCCGCAGCAGGTCGATGGGGAAGATGGGCTCGAGCGCCCACCGCTCCTCAACCGCGACGAACAGGGCCCCGAAGACGCAGGCGGCGGCGGCCAGGCCCAGGACCGCTGGGTTGCGTGTCCACGGGATATCGCTGGCGCGGCTGACCTCGATGGGCAGGAGGACGCAGACGACAGTCAGCGCGAGGAGGGCGGCGCCAAGAAAATCGATCCGGGCGAGTCCTTGCGGCTGCCGTGCAGGTGGCTTCGCATGCTTGCTTGGCGACATCGGCCCCGACTCCTGAGCATGGTCGTCGGCCTGATCGGTCGAGCGAGGCTCTGTACTGGACACATGGGTGACCGAATGGGACTGGCCGGGGAGATTGGAGGGCATCCTGGACAGACAAAAGACGATCGCGGCACAGAAGATGGGGACTTGGCCCATGAATGACAGGCGCCAACCGACCAAGTCAGCCAGCAGACCACCGAGGGGCGCTCCGAGGCTCCTTCCGCTGACGGCAGCGAGGTTGATGCCCGACTGCCAGCTCGCTGCCTCGCGCAAAGGAACGATATCTGCATTGCTGACCCATTAGTGAGCGTTCATGGCTGGCCATCAAAATTTGCCTGGAGCCGGTCAGCGCTACCTGTGATGATGAGCAAGCCCAGGACGTTCAGGGCTGCGGCTCCACAGCCGGAAACAACCCTCCCGAGGACAACCTGGGCCATAGAACCCCCGGCACCGATCAGGGCGCTGAAGGGGGGGCGTACAATCAGCCATTGTTGCATAACACGCTGGTAGTCAGCAAGTCAAAGAGGGTGACTTTACCATCCAAGGGCAAACAAAGCGTACGCCGCAACCAAAACTGGCCTCCGACCATACATGTCGCTCAGTTTGCCGTACTGTTTGGTGTCCTGTTTAGCCGAGGCACCCGGTCCGAAAATGGACGCGACCAAACATACAATGGACTGCGTGGCGGCGCCCGCCAGCTGGAAGGCGACAAACAGCCAGCTCGACCATGACAGGGCGTCAAACTCAGACGCGATGGTCGGGTGGGTGGCCAGCACCAGCGACCCGTCGACGTTGGACATGAAGGCGCCCGCAACCAGCACGAGCACGATGCCGAGGACCGTGACTGAAGAAGGCGCCGCGGCGCTGACGGCACCCGGCTCCGCTCCTGCCGCGTCTTCGGGATCGGCGGTAGCCGCATCGCTGGCCGGTGCGGCTTGGGAGACGGCCAGGGGTTGGCCCAGCAGGGGCGAGGTCTCGTCGTGCACGATGGGTGCGGCGGCGAGCTCAGGGGGTTGGCCCGCCATTGCGCCGGGAAAGCAGCGGTCAGGGAGGGGGCTTTGTGAACGGCGAGGTGAGGACGAGCGGCTCGGGTCCGTCGATGGTTGTGGTTGTCGTCATGCTGGGCTTTTCGAAAGCAGCGGCGGTCAGAAAATGGGGTGCAAGTCAGGCGGCCGGCACCGGTGTGAGCCATGCAGCGAGCCATGCAGCAAGCCGTTATCGAGGCCACCAACACGGAGCCTCCACAGGGCTGTGCTACCATCTTCCCCCGCGTTGGGGGCAACACCCACCCCACTGAGCAGCCCCCGCTGGTGGCCCGAAAGCGGAGGGGCTCAATTAGGGCCGAGTGGTAATACACAGTAAATGATTGCACGAGTCTCTGCTGCCACGCCCCCCACAGACGGCCAACCGAACGACAGTGGCCGGGAACGAACGTCTTTGCCGAGGTTGCCGAGGCCGCATCGCCAGGTTGGAATCGCGGTGGTGATAGGCCGGCCTCAACCCTCCGTGTTCGCTGTCGAGGTCGGCGTCGTCGGACGAAAAGGCCAGACGGGCTTCCCCGGACTCGGCGTTCGGCTCGAGTTGCGGACGCCCGCCAACTGCCGTCTGCTTGACGACCCAATCGCCTCTCTGCTGGCAGCCCGTCCCATCTCAGACTGGCAGCCCATCCAAGGCCAGCCAGGGGTCACTCCCTACCTGCGACGGCCAACCGTCGACCATCCCTACCGTCCTACGGGGAGCGCCTGTCAGCGCAGCTCTGCTCAGACCTGTCAGGCTGACGGGCGGGCGTGGCGGACCGACCAGGACTCTGCGCAGGTTGGTCGCTTGATGCCAGTCCGCTGCCCTCACAGAGTGTCGAGGGCCTTCGTCATAGAACCTGTTGTTATCCCATGAGGAAACCGTCGGTCGGAAGCTGGACGCCAAACAGCGACCAAAATACCCAGCCTATGTACCTGGCACAGCCGCAAGCCTTGGCCCGAAACCAGAGCCCATGACGGCACGCGGACAGTACCCTGCCGGCGACTTCGGTGAGCGCATTGGGCATTGTCGCTGGCAAAGAAAACAACTGTCGGGATTAGAGCGATGGCCAAGGTGTGAGATTCCAGACGGCGCATGGGCAGCGGGAATCAGCAAAGTGCACGGTACACACGCAACCCCTCGAATAATAATAGAAGTGCAGAAAAAAGCAACCGGCAACCCAGCGGGAGCAGCCGCCGGCGGGATGGAAGGATTTGACGGGAGGCCGCATGCTGTCTCGGGACCCGGGGGTAAGTATTGGCGGTTACACGGAACATCATCTCATCTCGTCTGGACATCTCGTCTGGACGCGGAACCAGCTTGGTCACAAAGTTGTCCAAGCGCGAGAGGGTGTTTGGTGGACTAATCGGAAACGAGGGAAAACAAGAAAACAAAGTGGCCAGGCAGAGCTGAATTGCAGGCTGACTTGGCTCTCTGTCGAAACGAGATGGATTGAGTTGGTTCACGATACGAGGCTTGACGTGGTACTGTGGCTGGGGAAAAAACAAGCCAAAGGTTGAGCCAAAAGTTGATCCCGGCTCCCGACTCCCGTTCCTGGTCTGTGGCGCCGCGAGCTCAGGAAACCGAGACAATGCCTTCCATCTTCCCCAGACTAGCAGGACGGAACAGGCGGGCACAAGATCTGTGATCGACGAGCAGACTAGGTCGGTATCCGGCTTGGCGGGAACAGAGGGCCATGCGCGACTGCGTCACATGGATTGTGCGAACGCAGCGGACGACTAGTCCATGCATCATCAATGGCTGGCTGGCGGCAAAGGCGCCAATGTGGCAGGCAGCAGGCGGGCAGCAGAGCCCGAAAAGGCTCGGACTGGCCGACGACGGCGACTGGGAAGTGAGCAGCTAGGGCGACCGGCGACTGGGCAAGCCGGCCCATCCATAGCTCGAGAAGCGCGGATGGGTAGCGATCCGACGACGGCGCGTCGACTCGCCCATCGCCGTTGGCCAGCCACTCGAGCCCGGGGGAACCCCGAGGGCGCAAAGGAGCTCGACATTGAAACAGGCGACGCGCACGGCGAAAACCTTGCAGAGTCGCGCGCTAATAAAAAAAAATTAAAAAAAAAAAGACTTCGAGCCAGCAAAGCTTATTCGCCTAAGCTCAGCGCTCCCAATTGGATTCGCTCGAGTCAGCTCGGGAGGCTGATGTGCCGAGACGAAACAAGCAGTCCAAACCGTAAACGCCCAAGACCGAACGGCAACCCGAGCTCCCGTTTTGTTGCTCAAGCTTGAGCCCTGGACCCGAGACCAGCCGTCTAGCTCCATCCAGTTGCTGCAACCATTCTGAAGCCAGCCCCGCCGCCACCGCCCATCCACACCCCCCCTGCCCTCAGTAACCCTCCACCCCACACACGCGCCCCTTGCCTCGAGAGATCAGGACTGAGATGGGAACCCGACGGCACGGAACCGGGTCCGGTCCCAGATCAGAGCCGCCAACCAGTTCCGTCCGATCCTTTCGTTTCCTCGTCCAGGAGAGCGAGGGGAACAGAACAATTGGGATCTAGTTTACGACAGATATATATACCTAACTATTTCTCCTCTTCTCTCCGATATAAGTTCTCCCCAATCTCGCTTCTCGTCCACCCACCCACACCTCGGACTTTACGAGCGGACCAACAGAACCCGCCCAAGGCCTTAATATCATCGCCCACAACCTAGCCGTCCAACTTGGCTGACATCAGGAGGAACGCCCGCGACCGCCACCAGCCACTCGACACCTCGTTTGCGTAAGCGGAGAGGTTACATTGGCCCCGATAGAAGCGGAGGCGGACACGAATCAGCAAAGAGCGAGAGAGGGCCCCTCTCGCCACGAACATCCCAGCAAACCTTTTCCAGCGCGAAACCCCGGGGATCACCTATTGACACCGACTCAGAAGGGAAAGGGTTCCCGGTGTCTGGATCCCAACATCATCTGCGCTGTCCCCTTTGTGCATTGCAACCTCGACAGGGGCAAGGCGCCGAGGCAGCAGAGGCAATAGAAGCCCTTGCATCGTATCCCCCCCGTCTTTTTTTTCTTTTTCTTTTTTATATAAAAAGGCCCACGACAATATTCTGTGCCCGCCGCCATGTTCAGCGTCGTAGAGATGCCCTCCCCTACATTCAACAGTCTTCTGCCCGTCAGGTTACGAAGCTGGCTCACCCGCCTCGGCACAACCGCAGAAGACAGCGCCGATAATAATAACAACGCCACCACCACCATGGCCTCGTCCCCCATGTTCTACTCGTCCAGGGCGCAGCTGCTGCTGGTCCTGGTCGCCATCCTCGCCACCGTCTCGGCCATTGTGGTCGGCGACCAGGCGCCCAACCGTAGCGGCGGCAGCTACGACGACGCCCACGACGCCCTTCTGGAGAGCCGCCAGGCCGCAGCGCCGCCCGCCGCCGTGTGCGTCTCCAACTCGGCGCCCAACACCATCTCTGCCAAATTCCCCAACAGCGCCACGGGCGTGATCAACGGCTCGCTCGTCGTCGTGCCCATCCCCATGGCCGACGCCCGCGCCGCCGTGCCGGCCCAGTGGGGCATCCTCGAGGGCGCCCTGAAGGCCAACCTGCCTGGCTTCCCCGAGGGCATGTACCCGCTCTTCATTCAGGCCGTGCAGGACCACGACCTCAAGCTGCACGCCTTTAACATCAACATCCCCGACTTTGCCGTAAGTATCTTGTTTTTTTTTTTTGCTTTTTTTGCTTTTTTCGTTCACATCTCCTTCCCCACCATCTGCGACCACGCCGGCTAACAAAAACTCTCCCCCAATCGACAGCGCGTCAGCCTTGAGTTCCCCTTCATCGACCTCCTCGGCGACGGCTACACCTCGTTCCGCTGGGCCCCCGAGATGCTCCTGTCGGCCTCCAACCCCATGGCCATCAGCGGCTCCGTCGACTACGGCACCAAGGCCCACCCGGCCACCTTTGACCCCGAGTGCGACGGCTACAAGGCCTCGCCCGACTCCTCGTGCACCACCACATTCACCGCCTCGGCCCCGGCCACCGGCGCCTCCTTCTCCCTCTCCGTCTCGCCCGACGCGTACGGCGCCCCCTTCGAGCTGCCCGTCGCCTTCTTCGTCAACGCCACCAACCAGCCCACCTTCGCAAACGGCACCGCCTGCTCAAACATGATCCGCATGTTCGACCAGTCCCTCTTCTCCGACGGCAGGGGCGCCGACCCCAGGCCCGTCGCCGGCACCATCGCGGTCGCCGGCATGGGGCCCGGCCTGCTCAGCTGGTCCGAGGCCGACGCGCCCCGCCAGGCCTTTGGCATCCAGGTCGCCACCCCATTCGCTGAGAACAACTACATCCCCTGCCACAACCTGCAGGGATACGGCGCATAAGGGGCCTTCGCCTGTGGCTTTTTTTTTATATAGCATGTTTTGTAGTATACAATATGCTCTTCTAGACGTACAATGATACCCGTCTGCTTTATTAATCTTCCTTTTTTTGTCCCTTTAGTCCTAATGCTGCCACGCGTCGTGACCATTGTGCCGATGTTTCCGATAAAAAGCATACAGGACCGGCTCCTACCACGTGGATAATATAACGACGCTGTTGGTCGGGTAGATGCATACATGCGACGCGTTGTTACTTGGCATTAACCCCGGTCGATTGGGCGCTCGTGTGGTACAAAGCAAAACCGCATCCAAGTACCTGCCATGTAACCGCACGGCTAGTGGGTTGGTACCGAGGTAGCTATCTAGGATGTTGCCAGCAGCATGTAAATATGTATGCCACGGAGCGACCCTCCTGCATCTGACCCTGATCTGACCCTGCATCGCAGATCCGCCAATACCCCGACTGAATATTCGAGGGCAGTGTTGACAACGCAATAAAGAATACAAGTACAGCAATGTACGCCCTTCTTTTCCTTCGATTTATTGGTGGCCTGCAACGCCACAACCCTCCTCCGACCCCAAACTCCGTCAACCAGATGCTAAGTGGAGCTCCATAATAAAAGGAAGTAAAATAGCTACAAAATGTCGAGAGAAGAATAAGAATGGTGGAACACTTGTAATTTGCCATCAGTCATGTCGCCAACACAATAAAACCAATCAAGGCAAAGAATAATAAGAACAAAGGCGAGACAAGGCCAAGAGTGTCATCTCGGCCCCGCGCGAGTTCAAAGTGCAAACTCGGGCTTCAGTCTCCACAGCTTGTCCTGTCCGCTGCCGGACCGCTCCGCCATGGTCTCGACAGAGTTCTTGACCTGGGCTTTGGTGCACTTGTCGAACTCGGAGCTGAGAATCTCGACGAGCCCAATCTTGCTCAGCTTGGGGTACTTGAGGATCGCCCGCTTGAAAGCATCCACAGTATCAGGGGGCACAAGTAGCAGCTTCTTGCCGGTCGATGCTGCAGCCCCTTGCGAGATTGCCATAAAGGCGTTGGCAGGGTTCGCCGGCGTTGACGACACCAGCGCTGGAGGCTTCATGCTGCCCGCGGTAGAGGGGTGGAGGGTTGTGGGGGCCGAAGCTGGTTTCACCTCGGGCTCCCAGTAGTGCGTAGCAAAAGGATCGACGCTGTGGTGGCGATCAAGGTCTGTGTTGAGCGAGTTAGCAAAAGCCGCGCCTCTAGAAGGCGACAAGATTCGCCCGCGGGTGTCCAGCGACATGCTTACCTAGAATGAATTCCATGCGGAACTTGTACATCTGGTCCGAAGGCCCTAGCCTCTTGTTGTCCTCAAAGCAAAGGCCGCTGCTCTCGGGCTCCATGCCGGATGCAAACACCGGGCGCTTGATGACGTCCTCGGAATCGTCCAGGAAGTCTGCCATATCTTCGTCTTCGTCGCCGTGGTCCTCGTCGTCGTCATCGAGGTCGTCAATATCCTCACCATCACCGTCGTCAACCCACTCTGCTTCTGAGTCATAGTCATATTGCAGAGGGAGGACATCTCGGGAGATGGGATTCCTCGCCAGCTTGTGCAGGTTGTGGGAGGAAGGTGGCGTGCTGGATACTGTCCCGCAGTAGGCAGGCCGCACGTCCTGGAAGAAGAAGAGGTACTTTAGGGGCACCTCCTTCAGCAGTTCTCGTGCGCTATTTGTGGCTAGGGAGTGTGCTTGTTGGGTTTTTGGGTCCGAGTCGAGGTTGATGGGGGCCGCAGATGAGCCGGCGCTGGCATCTGACAAGATGGACATGATTTTGCGAACGCTGGGATACGGCCGGCCTCGTGGTTTGGGGAGGGCGGGCAGGCAGAAGTAGTCGACTGAGGCGGCGCCGGTGAAGCGTGGAATATCCGTTGTGGCCTTTCCAGAGACAAAAGAGTCCAAAGTTTTCGTCTTGGCCAGTCTTGCCGGTTCATCAAGCTCGAACGCGTTCCTCGCGAGCCTAACGTTTTCCTTGACGAAGAAGGGCTTGAAAATCTTGCGGTATTCAGCAAGGCCATCAGAATCGGCTGTGGACAGGGCCGACGAGTCACCACCGCTCTCCATCTTCAGGGCAGCTTTCGAGGGGCTGCCTGTCGTGCCGGATGCGCTAGCCTTGAAAGGCAGCGCGCCCGGCTTGCTGGGAGTTGATGGTGCCTTTCTGAAAAAGGCCCCGAGCTTCATCTGACTCTGATCCTTCTTGTCCTTGGCCTCCTGCAACTTCCGCTGCTCCTCCTCTTTCTCGCGCCGCTTTCGTTCCTTCTCTTCAAGCTTCTTTTTGTTCTCCTCATCCTTCTCCTCCTTCTTCCTCCTGGCCTCCTCAGCTTTAGCCTTCTTTTCCTCCTCGAGCTTGGCCTTTTCAGCCGCTTTCGCTACCCTCTCTTGTTCCTTCTGTTGTCTTTTGAGCTCTTCCGCCTTTGCCTTCTCTTCCCTCTCCGATGGAGAGAGTCGTTTGCGTTTGGCTGGGGGCTCTGACGTGGATGGGGGAGCTAGAGTCTTGCTTGGGGATGTGGGGTGTGTGCTCTCCGACGCTGCGGTCGCTATAGTGATTGTAGCCCCTTGTGATGCCGGGGCAGTGGCAGCCACCGAAGCCATCGTAGTACTTGGAGGGAGGGTCGAGGATGTCGGAGGAGTGGGTTTTGATCGTGGAGGAGTTTGGTTGGGCGAGGGGGAGTCGACGGCGGCGGTGGCATCAGGCTGGCACACAATAACGTCGATGCTAGGCTTAACTTCTAAAGTGGGAGCATCTGTGAGGGAGGCATTGTCAATTGCTATGCTCCATGCCATGTCCTCCCGGGTGGCTCGCAGAAGGGACGATGGGATGAAGCACGCACCTGTCGGTTGGTTCTGGCTGCGCACGGCAGCGCCGGCAAACGACAGCTTCGACTGCACCATGTCGTGGCACTTAATGCCAGCAAAGTCCTCGTGTGTTCGCTTCCGAGATGGGGAGTCGAGCGCAGCGACGTTGGCGGGAACGTCGAGGAGAGGCATGTGTGGGCTATGGGCCAGGGCTGTGGGTTGCTATCGATTTTCGGTCACCTGGAAGGCCACACCGTGCCTGTGCCTGGACCGATAAAGAAATGGCCTCTGAACTGGGTGTTAATTGGCGGTTGGGTATCCCACAATGACTGTTGACGGCCTGGTTGAATGGGAGAGGGTATCGCCGGCTCGACCAGTCTGGTCGACCAGGTGCCGACCTTGGACCTGTTTGGGTTTCGGTTGTCAATCCAAGTCCAAGGTGGGTTGGTTGGCCAGGGTGGCTGTTGAATGCAAGGGTCCCAACAGGGGAAGGGCGCGGCCAGGAAACGCGTTCAGTTTGGTTAAATTGGTTGAAGCGCGTGGGTTTGGCGTTTGTGGCTGTGACCCCAGTTTCTGCGCATCTTGAAATTTCCTGTGGCTGAGCATGGCGTGTGCGCAAAGCCCAGTCCCCCGCACTTGTAGCGTGGGGCAAATGGAAAAAAAAAATCCTCCCAAGCATGCGCCGTCATCAACCCAAACAACTTACCGACTTCCACACAACAAAACAGGTCAGATGGCCGAGCGGTCTAAGGCGCTAGCTTCAGGAGGATCTTGACATCCAAGTGTCTGCTAGTCATGAAAATGGCGTGGGTTCGAATCCCACTCTGATCAATATCTTTTGTTTTTGCTGGGTTTGGTTTAGCTTATCCCCTCTCGCTTGCTCCCTTCTCCCACCCTGTTACCTCTTTCTTTTGCTTTTTGCGTCCTTATTCACTACCTTCGAGCTTTCATCCCGTGTTAGTTGTCCCTTTAGCTCCTCTTACGCAATTTTTGGTTTAAGCCACGGTATCTGGGGGGCGTGGGGGCTACACAGTAAGCAGCCGTGAGAGTCTGTCGATCCACGGCTTGGCTAGAAACACACACGGGAGTGGAAATGCAGGCTACTGCACAGTTAAGACGTCAATTGAGGGGCTGCTCCCAGTTAGCATGACTATTTAAGCGGCGGATCGTTCCGAGTTCCCACAAGCGGACAAAAAGCCGAGGCTTGCTACTACAGGACACGGCCGCGGTGAAGAAAAGAGAAGGCACACGAACGTGGGATAAATACCTATGTACCACATGAGCGCCGGATGGACAGGAGGATATAGCACATCTGCAAGTTTCTGCATTGCACTTGATAGCGTCGCGTATGGAGACGAGAAGGTTGCAACAACCAGCAGGAAATATGCAGACTAGAACTTGTTTGGTTTATCGACACGCAAATCGCGGATGCCGAGTGCTTATCATCATCCCTTTGATTTTCCCCGCGCGCCGAGGTAGGGTTGCATGGACGCATGCCGGCGCACCGTCATTAGGGGCCTGGGTGCCTGCAGTAAACGTCTACTATTTCTTCATCCATGTCAAGACAGCGAGCTGCCGTTCACTTCCATCTATTGCTGTCCATTCCCTTTTCTTCTCCTCCGCCAAATCGAGGGTACTTGTCACAACTCATACCCGCTTTGCTATACATCCACGCAATACCACTATTCCACCCGAACAAGATGGGTTTACTGTCTGCCATTTACCATCTACGTTGGTTTTTGGGGCTGGCATTTCTGGCGGTATACCTTGTCAGCAAAGTGCGCACCTACTGGAGACTGCGAAACTTCAAAGGGCCTTTTAGTACCGGCTTTTCGGAGCTCTTCCATATGCGCCTGATCCTCAGCCACAGGAACCATGAAGAGTACAAGGAGATATTGGACAAGTATGGTACGCTGTCTGGACGTCTTTCCATATCCGACAGAATCGAGCTCTGATGCAAGACACTTCAGGTCCCATTGCTCGGGTTGGCCCCAACGACCTCGTCACGTCTTCGCTGGAGCTCCTGTGCCACATGAGCGCCGCCCGCTCGCCCTACACGCGGGGTTGGTACTACGGCGCCGCACGCACGCGTCCCGACAAGGACAACGTATTCAGCACGCTCAGCGAGGAGCACCACGACAAGCGGAGGCGACAGATGGCCGCTGGTGTAAGTCCAAGTTCCTGTTTGTCGACATCTCTTTCTCGACGCTAATCTGCGAATTCCCCCATGGCAGTACTCGGGAAAGGAAAACGCGGATCTGGAGCCCACCATCGACACGTACGTAGCGCAGCTAGTGCACCTGATCCGGTCCAAGTACCTGTCCAACGCGCACCTGGCCCGGCCGTTTGACCTTTCCGAAAAGACACGGTACATGGCACTCGACGTCATCAGCGCCGTCGGCTTCGGCAAGGCCTTTGGCGACCTGCAGTCCGACGCCGACGTGCACAGCTTTGCCGCGTCCAGCGAGTCGGGCCTGCAGTACATGACGGCCATGATGGCCTTTGGCCTGACGCCGTGGCTGCGCCGCTTCCCGGCCCTGGCGCGCCTGCTGGGGCCCGGCGAGGCGGACGCGACGGGCTTCGGGCGCATCGTCGGCGAGGCGCGCGTCATCATCGAGCGGCGACTAGAGCGTGGCGACATGGACAAGCGCACCGACATGCTCGCCTCCTTCAGCCGCCACGGCCTGACGGCCGACGACATGGTGACCGAGTCGGCGCTGCAGATCGTCGCGGGCTCCGACACCACGGCCACGTCGCTGCGCTGCATCATGCTGTACGTGCTCTCGCACCCGCGCGTCTACGTCAAGCTGCAGGCCGAGGTCGACGCCGCCGTCGCAGCGATGGGCGGCGGTGCCGGCGGCGGCGTCGTGCCCGACAGCGTCGCCAAGGGGCTCCCGTACCTGCAGGCCGTCATCAAGGAGGGCATGCGCATCCACTCGCCCGTCACGGACCAGGTGCCCAAGGTGGTCCCGCCCGGCGGCGACACGGTCGTGGTCGACGGGAAGCCCGTGTTCCTCCCCGGCGGCGTCAATGTCAACTACGGCGTGTGGGCGCTGGACCGCAGCGAGGCCATCTTCGGCCCGGACGCCCACGTCTTCCGGCCTGAGCGGTGGCTGGTCGAGACCGACGAGGCGCGCCTGGGGGCCATGAACCGCGTGCACGAGCTGATCTTTGGGTACGGCAAGTACCAGTGCCTGGGCAAGTTTATCGGCCTGATGGAGATTGGAAAGGCTCTCTTCGAGGTACGTGCCTTCCTGTCTGCCACTTGGCTTCGTCTGCCGCGTGAGCGATCTGCTAACAAGAAACAGCTTATGCGCAACTTTGACTGGTGTCTCGCTCAGCCCGAAAAGGTATGGAAGGGCAAGAACCTGATGGGCCTCTTCATCCACAAGGACATGTGGGTTCTCGCAACGGACCGCAACGATGCTACGTCGTAGTGGTGGGGATATATTTTTGTATTATTGGCATTTAAGGAGATCAGATGGACGGGGTAGGTGCGAACGCAAATATCACTCCATCCCCAGCTCGAAATATAGTTCCGTCACAGCAGAGTCTGGGGCCATCACAGCCGAGTCTCGGGACATTGCAGCCGAGTATGTGGCCTCATCCTTTTCCCGCCGCTCTGCCACCACAGCGTCGCCGACTTGTCGGTGGCGTCGCCGCCACATATAGACGCAAACCACGGCCGCGATCAGCACCGCGGCCAGCCCTCCAAGCACGCCCCCTACGATAGCCCCAATCGGAGGTCCCGGCGTTGGTGCCACTACTGAACCGGCGGTTGGCTCCGATACTGCGGGCGGTGGGGACTTCCGTTGTGCTTCCGAGTCGATGACATCCTGGAAGAGCAGTCGAGTGTTCTCTATCTCCCAGGTGACATTTGGAAGCCCGCTGCCAATGGAGCGCATTAGCACACCTTTCACACTGTTCTAAAATGGATGGAAACAAGGTATCTCACCGATCGCTGTACCACTCCTTGGCAACCCCGGGCTGCCGGTAGACTGGGGCTGAGGCGTCATAGTCGTCGCGCCACACAAGCTCCGTCATGTCGAGAATCTTCATCCCCCCTCGCCAAGGGTCCTCGAGATCTCCCCGCTTGTCGCGGAAGTCTCTACCGCCCATGGCGATCATTTGGCGACCGCTCTTGCCCACCAGGGTACTGGCCCGATGCTGGCGAAGGCATCTGGGAAAGGCTTATGGCGTTTATGGCCAGCAACGGCCGCTTCCGCCAAACAGTGAGATGTGTAGCCAGATATGACCGTCCCGTAAGCGCCTTCGTTGGTCTCACGGGCCGCACCAAACATGGTGGCACATCCCGCGGTCGATCATATGGGGTTGCGGGAGTCGTGACTCGTCGCTGCTTGCTTGACGTTGCCTTGTTTGAGATGATGTCGCTGGGCCTTGAGCATCGCCGCCAGGTCAAGCTGTGACGCCACCTGACACGGCTGGACGTTTGTCTTTGGTTCCTGGCTTGTGTGGGGAGATACTATTTTCAGCCATGGGATACCCGAAAGGGAAGATTGCCCGTTTGTTTCAACGGCTAAACCCCCCTTTTTTTTTGCTTGGCTCAATGCAAACATCATAACACATCTTGGGATCCGTTTCGTCCCCAGGTTACCTGGTCAGAATGTCAATGGATGTTTGGGAGGCTACAGCTTCGATGGATAGGGGCTACGGCATCGCGCGGTGCTGTCCACGATATATAACCGCAGGCTTCTAGCGGCGAGATCGGGTTGACAATATGGAAGTAGCATCTCATCACCTCCATCCGTTTGTTTCAATCTCGTATCATACTAGTACCTCTATAGTAATCGTCCGGCACGACCCCAGCATATTCTCCAGCAAAATAATTCTTCCTCCTCGCCAGCCAACAAACAACGCCCGTCCCAAGATGAAGTTCTCCGCCTCCCTCCTCGCCAGCTGCCTCGCCGCCAGCGCCATGGCGCTCAACACCCCCATCGAGGCCCGCCAGCGGGGCAAGACGGGCGACGGCGCCCTCTGCAACAAGAACAAGGGCGCCTGCAGCGGCGGCGTCTGCGTCGACTTTAGCGGCGCCGGGAGCACCAACGAGGCCAAGTGCAAGGTCAAGCGGGAAGAGATCCCCATGATCGAGGTGCGCTAGGACCAAGCGTGACGGAGCGTTTTGCTGCAACAAGAGCAAAGGCGCGTGATCCGGGGCCGCACGCGCCGACCTCGGCGGCGCCTAATGATAGGGTGACGCGAGGTGCTAGTCGCGGGCGCGAGCGTGGAATGGAGAGCCGGGAAAAGGAGGTCATGGTTATACAGGTACACAGTCGGCCTTGGACGCCCGGGCATTCAGGTGGCGCAGACACCACGGACAGGCCAATTAGGCAATCAGTGCCACCCGCCGTCGATGTTTCGGGAAGGACAAGAGCGAGCGGGATTTAGGAATGGTGGCAAGAGATAGTCATCAACTCAAGCATGCTCCAAACAGCCAAGATGCCACCACGATATTTGTTTCCGTTTGCGTTGCGCATTTTGATCACACACTTTCAGTTTCAACGAAACCCGGTGCCAGCCATGAAGTGCCATCTTCTTCGATCTCATTGTTGAGCAGTCGGAAAGTTGGGGCGAAGACAGCGGCGCCGCGCAGGCTTTGCATAGAAAAGCCGGGAATGCCGGAGCATATATACATGCAGCAGTGTCAAGTATGTACAAGAAACACTCTCCTAAGCGACCACCCCCTCCTAGTCTCGTCCTCCCCTCTTCCCCCCTCCAAGACACCTCGGCCCACCTCGATACCACTCCTTACAGCCCAAACCAAGCCATATCATCCGACCCGATAATAGGGATCTCATGGCCGTAGTTGGGGTTCACGACGCCCTTGACCTGGTTGCCAAACAGGTACGTCGTGTAGCCCTGCTGGGGCGCGTTCTGGGTCGTCTGGGTCGGGGTGCCGCTCACGCCCAGGACGCCGGTCCACTGCTTGATCATCTCGGCGTAGTTGGCCCAGGCGAGCGTGGTGTCGCGGCCGCCGTGCATGATCATCATGCGCGGGCGGCTGCCGCTGTAGCCGGGGGCCATGTCGCGCGCCACTTTGGCCCAGCTGGCCTGCGTGCCGATGGAGCGGCCCTGCGCGCACGTGCTGTTCCAGGCGTTGACGGCGCCCGACGCGCTCATGAAGCAGCCTGCGGGCACGCCCGAGTGCGAGATGACGGCCGCGAAGAGGTCGGGGTAAGTGGCGGCCATGACGTTCTGTGTGGGAGGTGCTCGGTTTTAGTGTCAGAGAGCTACGGAGAGAGGAGAGAAGAGAAGAAGGAAAAAAAAAAAAACGTAACGGCCATCATGGCGCCAGACGAAGCGCCCACCAGGAAAACCTTGGACTTGTCGGCGTTGTACTTGCTGGTGGCGTACGTGACCATGTTGGCGATGGAGTTGGTGTCGCCGCCGCCGTTGCGGGTCAGCGTCTTGCGCGACGACACGTCGAAGCACGTGCCCGAGTAGGGCGACTGCGGGTAGATGACGATGAAGCCCTTCTGGTCGGCCAGGGAGCGGTAGGGCGTGCTGCCGAAGAAGGAGCTGGCCGTGCCCTGGCAGTGGTGGACGGCCACGACGATGGCCGGGTTCTGCGCCACGCGGTCGGGCACGTAGATGAACATCTTGACGCCGGCCGGGTTGGTGCCGAAGCTGTTCACCTGCTGCAGGCTGGCGGCGGCCGCCAGCCCGGCCAGGCCGAGGAGGGTTGCGAGGACGAGGCGCATGGCCGCGACGGCGCCGAGTGACATTTTTAGGTTCCTTGGTGGTGGCGGCTTGTTTGCTAGGCTGTGCTTCTCGAAAAGGAGCTTGGCGCCGGTGAGGAAGCGATTGGAACAGCAACCAGACTGGCTTCTTGGCTCTGCTTTTATATGCGTGCTAGTCGCCGACCGACGGCAGAATGTGCCGTTTCCATCGCGGAATATTCCCCCCCGCGCTGCAGCGACGAGGGCCACAATAAGGCCGTCCAGGGGGGTTCCGTGCCAAGATCTTATTGGCGCGATTTTTATAGTCCCCCATTTGGAGACATTGTCGCCCCAGAAAAGCAAAGTCAAAAGACGGGGATCTGCCGGTACCTGACATGCTCCAATAGGGCCGAGTATGGGCTGAGATAACCCAGGACGTGCTGGTGAAGCGATCCCCTTCCCGCATTCTGCCGACTGCCGACTTTAGCCAGCGAAATTTCTAGTGGGAACACATAGAGGGTCCTCAGCTCCACGCCACACGCCACCTAGCGAGTCCTCACCCTGTATGTGGTCAGACCAAACATCACTCGAAACAAGAAACGAGTCGAAAAAAAAAAAAAAAAGACTGACGGATTCAACGATTAGCAACTTCGGTATTTTATATCCGAGTCGCCTTTCTATGCTACGAGGTCTCACAAGATCCACCGCTTTCGACCCAAAATAATGGTCCCAAGATGCTTGAAACATACAAACGAGAGAAAGAAAGGAAAGAAACTACTCTACATGACAATGGCAAAGGCGCCGACAGCAAACGAGACCAGCAGCGACGCCGCCCCGACGACGCCGCCGGCCGTGAGGCTGCTCGCGCCGCTGCCGCTCCCCGACCCGGCGGCGGCGGCACCGCTGCTAGCGGCCGCCAGAACGGCGGAGCAGGTGCTAGCGGGCTGTGCGTTGGCCACGACGGCGGCGTTGCCGCCGAAGCTGCAGGCCGAGGCGCTGCTCTTCTGGTTGGTGTAGTAGGTGTTGAGGGCGAAGCCGAGCTTCTCGGTGCCGTTGCAGCCGGCGTACAGGCCGTACTTGCCCGTAGTGGCGTTGCCCGAGATGCCGTCGCAGGCCGTCTTGTCGAGGCCGCAGACCTGGCCGAACATGGCGCCCACGGCCGTGCCGTTGGACGCCAGCGACGCCGAGGGGCGGCACGAGAGGCCAGAGTACATGCAGGCGCACACGCTCGCGTTGGGGCTGGGCGGCAGGTTGTCCGACGCGAGCCACTTGCCGCCCACCTGCGGGCAGGCGCGGGGCTTGTTGCTGGGCGTGTACGACGACTCGCTGATGCCCTGGGGGTAGCCGGCCTTGGCGATGGCCTTGGCCAGGGCGTCAAAGTCCTTCATCTGCGTGACGGTGTTGCCCGAGAGCTTGACAAGGCCTGTTGGGGAATTGGATAATCAGCCAATGGTTCAGGACAGGAAAAAAAAACCAAAAAAAAAAAACCGAAAGCAGGAAATGACTTACCATAGTCGTTCTGCTCCTGAAAGTACTCGTAAACGATACCGCCAGACCATATCTTGCTCATGTCGTTGCTGTATAGCGCCTCGGTCTCCTGGAAGATGCGCTCGGCGGCGCCGCCCGGGTTCTGGCAGCCATACTCGGAGAAGAAGGCGGGCACCGAGTAGTCCTGGAAGAACTTTGTGCGCTCCTCGTAGCCGCTGGTCTGGAAGGTACTCTTGCCGCACCATTCGTAAATGTTATAACCCCAAAAGTCGACCGACTCCTCGACGGGCCCGCAGTTGAAGTAGTTGGCCAGGTTGTCGCGGGTGCCCGCGTCGTCGTTGGTGGCGTAGCCAACACCCAGCCAGCGACCCAGGTTTTTGCTCTTGATGTACGCCTTGGAGTCGCGAACGGCGGCCTTGACAAAGGCCGAGGCCTGCGTGTTGGTGGCGTTGTTGGTCACTTCGTTGCCGGCGAAAAAGCCGATGGTGTTTGTGTACTTGGACAATGTATCAATAACGGCGTTGTACTGGACCTGCAGCGACGTATCCCAGGCGGGCGTGTCGCGCTCGACCGACTTGTCGGGCCTGCTCAGGTCGGCGATAACATAGATGCCAGCGTCGGCCAGGGCGTTCATGCAGGTGCTATGGTCCCGGGTCGGGTCGATGGCGTAGACACGGATGGTGTTTGTGCCCAGCTTCTGGAGCAGCGGGATGTCGCGCTTGCAGGCGGCCGTGTCGGCGAGCGGGTCGTTGACGTCCTTGGAGATGGCGTCGCCCTGGCCGTTGACGTTGACGCCCTGCTGGTAGGCGACGCCGCGGATGAAGAACTGGGTGCCGTTCTTGTTGAAGAGGTACTGGCCCTTTGCGTGGATGGGGTCCAGGGCGGCGACGGCGCCGCCCGTGAGCTGCAAGACGGCCAGCGCCTTGGCGAGTCGGGGGATAACCATCTTTGGGGCTGCGGGTTGCTGCCGCTAGTGTGCGATGATCTCTTGGCGCCAATGCGGGAGATGACGCGCCCACGATGCTTGTGTGGTCTTGGGGGCCTGGGGAAATTGGCAGGGTGGTCCTGGGCAGGTGCCGAGCGTCGAGGTGGAAAAACAAAAATGAGAAACAAACCAAAAAAAGACAGCAACGAGTGGACTTGGTTTGTTTGCAGCGCAGCAGAAAGGATTCCTAGGGAAAACAAAAACAGAGAAAGAGTGAACTGGCTTGGAATGAGAAGGAAGAACTGCGAGGGCGTGGGACAAAACTAGGTAGACCACAAAAACAGGAACCAGGGGTTGGGGGGGGGCTGTGTTTTACATGTCCTGCTTGCGCGTACTGTCTGCCAGCGGCCTGTAGGTAGGCGGGGGGCGGCGACTTGGCCGACGCTGACGCTCTGGTCGGCTTTCATCTCCCGCCCCAACTGTGTGCTGCCAGGTTTTTCTCGCACTGCTCTTTGTCCAGCACAGTATCACGACATGTCCGTCCTACATAGCGCCCATCCCAATTTCACAAAACGCCAGACAGACAGATCGCACAGTGCCCCTCGACAAAGAGCAGGATGGAGACGTTACGCGTGTCGACGCCCCCTTCTCCCGCAGGGCCGAACCCTGCAACGGACCGCGGCCCCGGGCTCGTGTTTGATGGCGTCTGACGGACGCAACCTGCAGCGGCGGCTGTGGAGCTCCCTCCACACGTCATTTGCTATTCCCGGATCTTGGCTTTTTTGCTTGTCTCGATCCGGCCAAGACGCATTTGTCTCCTCTGTTGAACACGGGCTTACGTATGTCTGCCCCGTGTTGGGGGTTGATATTGATCTGTCAATGTCCGCGGGCAACTCAATTGGCCGTCTCCCACCAGGCAAATGTGCCGAGATATCCGATCGAGGATGCAATTGCCACCCCTCATTTCCTACAAAACAGAGTCACTCTCCCAGCCACGGGGATGTCATCGCGGGAATCTCTCCTAGACAACGGGATACCTCAGGTGGATTGCCCAAGACAGGGACGCTGTAGCATATTTTTTTTACTCCAATTCTGACTGTTCTTCCTAGCAGTAACAAAATGCGGACGACAGAGCGGATCATACCCAACATCTCGCCAGTTTGACCGTACCAGTCCTGGCTTGGACTACGGGCAGTCGAATAGCAACCCTAGTGTTTACCGGCACGGATTGTCGTCATTGACAGGCATCAGATCGCACAACGCCAGACCTCAAGGGTTCGTTGTCTACCTCGTTACTGGCGACGGCATTTACGAGAGCTGCCTATCCATGGTGATCTTCCGAGTCTCCATGTCGTTGTGGGCATTCTGGTCGACGTGGGAGATTTGACCCAACTGCTGGTTGACGAAAGTGAAGTCACTGAAGATTTGGGCGATGCTGGAATCGAGGCGACGGTGTTCCATGCTAGTTTGTGACGCGCAAGGCCATGACTAGCAGCAGAAGCTGTGACATACATTATCGCGTCAGTGGAGGGATTCTCGACCACTCGAGATGGCTGAGATGTGATGTGCGTGGAGGCGACGTGCTGGTGCCTGACGACGTCGGGTTTGCGCGCGATCGGTCAAGATCCGCCATCCACGACACCAACCGCTACGATATCTCGGGAGAATCACGAATGACGAACCACAACGAACCACAAATCACAAATCACAGTCTTCCCCAGGCGAGACTAGCCCAGGACGAGCTGAGGGTCACTGTCCGTCACGAGTCACAGCGGGCCGGGTCACCAAGGAAGGAAAAGCTTTTGGCATATTAGACCGGAGCGAGAGTTTTTGGCCCTGGGAGCAGAATCATCCCAGGCCGGGTATTCCCCAAAGAAGCGCAGAAGAACGCCGACCCAATGCATCTGTGTAGGTTGTTGCAAGTGGCCACGACAAACCGAGAGAAAAATGGAAACGTGAAGCCCGTATGGGCATCCGCGACATGAACGAGGGAAGAGAATACAAGGAGGCGGAAAAAGAAACTCCTCACAAAGACCAAGGAGATGAGGAACTTGATCGAAACAGAAATCTGACAAGCGAAGGTGGGTATCGTCTTTTTCCCAACACAGAAATCCTCCATAAAGACGGAAGAAAAACACACGAACAGGCAGATAAAAAGAAGATGACAAGCCACGGGTAATGACATGGCAACTGGTCAAAGGCTTTTTTTTTTATCCGAGACAAACCAACGTGGCCAGGTTGATAGATAGGAACCAACCAAGACCAAGAGAAGTGGGTAGATATGTGGAAATTATGAATGACAGACGGAAGATGAAACAAGTCGTCGGAAAAAAAAGTCTGTTCAATCAGGGTTAGCAATAAACAGCCTCCCAGCGCTGCCAGTCAGGGTCATTGTGCGCTCGTCAACGCTGCCGCGGCGCTTCAGCTCGTCGACGTTCTTTGTGCTCTTCTCGCGCGTCAGGGCGGCGTTGAGGGCGCTCTTGTTGGCCGGGCCCGAGCCGCCGGCGCGCGGGGCGGACATGTCGGGCACGTTGTCGGCGCGCTCGGCGCTGCTGCCGCTGGCGAAGCTGCGGGCGCGGCCGCCCGAGTCGTCGTCGGCACCGGGCGGGGCCGCGACAGGACCTCGGGGTTCGCACCCCCGCCGAGGCTGTCCTGCCTCTCGGGCGTATCGCCGGGCGACCAGCGGCGGCCGGCGGCGCTGCCCAGGGAGCCGAGCCCGCCCGACGAGCGATACGTCAGGCTATTGGAGCCGCCGTGTTGCTGGCGCAGGCGGATGGAGGCGGTGCTGGAACGGCCCGAGCTGCCCGTGCGGCGGTGGTGGGACATGCGGTTCTGCTGCTGCTGGCCCGGCCCATTGTCATCGTCCTCGCTGTCGCCGCCCTCGACCTCGGTGGCGCTCAGGCGCAGGGGAACGCCGCCGACGCCGGCGGCGTAGCTGTTGTCGGGCGAGTAGCCGACCACGCCCGGCTTGCCGTGATGCCTGATCTTGGCGGCCACCTTGTTGCCAGCAGAGCTGAGGCCGGTGCCGGTGCGGGAGCCGGTGGCGTTGGGGCCGCCGGCGGTGTTCCAGGACACTGCGGAGGTAGCGTCGCTGCGGCCTGTGACCTCAAGATTTGCGCGCATCTTTGCGGCGCGCTGGGCCTGGACCATTCGCGGGTCCTCGGGCTGTGCGCGCTCGGACCACACCGTCGCCTTCTGCTTCCTCAGGAGCGCGACGTACGACGAGGTCGGGTAGACGGACGAGGCGCCGGCGGAGCGGTTCGAGGTGCTGCGCTGCAGGTGGTCGGCGTGGGCGGGCGGCGACGTGCGGTACGCGGCGGGCGGCACCATGGTGCCGCCGCCCGACGAGTGCGACGAGAAGGTGTTGACGCTCGGGGAGCGGCGCGAGGGGTGGAACTGCGGACCGCCCTGGGGCTGCGAGAGGTGCACCTGCATGGTCGGCTGGGGCGCCTGGAGGTTGGGGAAAGTGTTGGACGACGTCGTTCGGGATCTCGAGCGGGTGTAGACGGGCTCAAGAGGACGCTGGCGCCCGCCGATGCGGGACTCTAGCATCGTCTGGCTGGCTGCCTGCCTGCCTGCCTCGACGGGGGCGCTGCGAGCAGACTGGAAAGTAATGGAGGGGCGGGAAGAAAAGGGGCTCTAGCTCGTGGGCGCCCAAGCGAGGAGATCAGAGGGCTGCGCCAGCCTTAAATGGCTTGGGGAGGCCAGGAGGGATTCAAGTCGGCGAGGGCAGCGGGGAAATTCAAAAGGCTGAATGAAATGAAGCACAGGCCCTAGGCAGAGTCTTGGGCAGAGTAAGCTCAGGCCACTTGAATGGGTACAACGGCTAGTGGGTGCCGGCCTCGAGCCGAGGGGCATGAATTGAGCAATCAAGCCAAGCAGAAACAAGCCGGAAAAAAAGGGTTGAAGCCCACCTGCAAGACAATTGTCTCTGCCGGTTCCCTCACGCTCCCCAGTGTCCCCGTAGAGCACGGGCGGCAATGCAATGCGCGGAGCTGAGTGGCAACCTTGCAACTTTGGGCTTCTCCTGGCGGCCTCCGTCGATGGATTGTCGAGCTGAAGGCAAGGGAGACCAGACTGTAAGCGCCTTTGGCTCGTTTTTGGCTCGTCTTTGTTTCCACTCCCGGTCGGCTGCGGTCAGAAAGTGGAGTCGTTCTTTGGTTGGCTGGCGCTACGCAATTGTTTCGGGCGGGCACGCTGGGCAGGCTGCGAGTGAAAACATGGGGCTGGGTCTGGAGTTTGACGTTTCGGTACGCGAGAGGGAAACGGGCCGAGCTCTGGTTGTGCTTTTTCCACCTTTTATTGCTCTTTTTCTGTCTCTTTTTTCACTCTACGCAAGAGTGGGCCGGCCAGGTTTCGTCTCTCGCGGGCTGTTGTTTTGGTCGCTCGCGCTCTTGGTAGGCTGCACGAGATTGCTGTGCCAAGACAAGACCTCTGCACCAAGACCGCACCCGAATTGGTTCTGGCGACGATCAACGGGGCGGCTCTGAAGCGGCCAGTCGCAGGTTAGGAAACACGATGCAACGCGAGACAAAAGAGGCAGACACCACAGTCGATCACCAAAGTTCTTTCGTACCTGGATCTGTCTTGACGGGATGATGATGTTGACGATGTGCTCCAAGTGCCGGCGTTCCAGTAAGCGGTGAGGGAGCACGCAGCCAAACAGCCCCAAGTAACGTTGACAGTCTGCGAGCAGACGTTGCTTCGTGACTAGACAACGTCCAGATGAGCAAGAGTCGAACAGCACGACGTGCCAGAGGGAGGCCGGCGAGCAGGCAGAGCTTGGCCAGTAAATATCAAATGGCCGGCGGTGAGCTGGCAAGCTGACACGGCTCACTATCACGGCAGCCACTGAGCCCGAGCTGCCGGTCGGTGGGCGTGCAATCAGAGCCCGACAGGGAACAAGGGCCGACACGAGAGCTTCGTGGGAACCGAATTCGACTGGCACAATGCACCCCACGATGCGGAGCTGGCGGCGGCGGCGCGCGCTACTCCAAAACCAAGGCAAAGCTCCGGGCAGGGGCAAGATCTAAACGTCACTCTGTTTCCCCTCTTCGCCTCTGGCGGACAAACGATGATGTGATGGGCGATATGTGCGGCTATTATTGCCTTGGGGTCCGCTCCATTTCAGCACCTGCCGAGCCAACTGTATGCATGTACTCCTTTATTTCCCTCTCAAGCACCACACACAGAAAAAAAGAAAGAAAAAAAACCAGCACCTCCACATACCCACTCCCACAAACACCCAACCCTGGCAGGGCACCAGGGGCACCGACGGCGGATAGCCGCGTGTTGAAACGGGGCCAATCCGGTCAATTGGATTGTGGCACACTGGGCTTCGTCCCAGTGGCACCACGTTGTGCAGCTCTGGCACTCGGTAGGTTCGCCCACCGTAACGGATGCTGAGTGGTTGTGGTGGTGAACAAGCTCTGCCGTCCACTCACAACGACCCAGCATGTCCTCGCCGAGATTTGCGCCAAGGGGGGGCCAAGATGTGCAGGCCCAAGATTGGCAGTCGATAGACCGTCCTCGGCACATGCTACTAGCGACGAGGCAATGGCTTTTGTTCAGCCGTCGTCAGCACCACCTCGCACGATAATTGTCGGCCGAAAACAGACTCGCCGCGGCCACCGACATGCACGCCGGCTGCCTGCGGGCGCCGCCGGGCCATCAGACACCCCACACACACACACACACACACGCACCCTCCCTCGTCGGCGTCTTTTCCCACTGGAGGGCATAAAGGTGCGTTGTGCCACCAGACTGTTATCTTGGGCTATACATACAGGCGTAGAGATCCACCTGCAGAGGCAGCCCGAGGTGCATGTTGGCCTCGATCACAGTCACAATCATCGTGTAGCCCCCATCGCCGGAAATGATTGGGTCACCTCACCCACACAGACACAGACTCACGATTACAAGAGCTCAACCGTGGGCTGCATGGAAATGGACAGACGAACGGGCGGACGGGGGGGTCTTGGGGCGGGAGGAGTGGGGTGGGATCGCGTCAAATGCAGTGCACCCACACACAACCTAACCATGATGCCCAGGGGGCCGAGAGACAGATTGAGCCGTAGCAGTAGAGGGCGGGGATCCCAGCTCGAGGCTACCCAAGGTCGTGCCCACGGATCTAATGCTCCTGCCTTGGGTGTGAGTGAGATTGGCCTGCCTGTCTGGTCTCTACCCCGCTCGCCCGGCTGGGTTGCAGAAGGTATACCGCCGCCCTCTTTTGCATCTTGGGATGGCTTGGACGGATCTGGGCGAGAGGCAGGTAGGAGGCAGGCAGGAGGTAGGCAGGAGGCAGGCAGGAGGTAGGCAGGAGGCAGGCAAGAGGACCGCACCGCGCTCCGTGTTCTGCACATGAGGTCATTTTGACGTTGCTGTTTCTGTTTTGCATGCTACCAGACCCTGTCTTGCCCAAAGTGGGCGACCATTACTTTTCATTCCAGTCGCTTTCACCCCAAGAATATTTGCCCCACTTCGGCTGCTCCTAGCGCGGTTTGCGGCTGGCTAGCGGGAGATGGCCGACGCCGAGGGAAGGAACCGGAACGAAGAGAAAAATCGGCACCGGTCCAACAACGAAGACCACAGAAACCTGGCGGTGGATCCATGCCAGAACGGTTTCCTGGAGAATGGCAAAAAGACCGATCTGTCGTTGAGAAGCCGATCTGAAGTGACGGATGATGGGTACCAAAAGGGAGGGCCACACGCTCACCGTCTCTTATCCTGCGGTTCGTGCCTTGGAACGGCCGGGTTCCGAGCCATGCGCCTTGGAAGTAGGCCTGGATGCCACGCATGCGGCTAGGAAAGCCGGTCAGGGCTGCTAGGAATCAGGACAGCCACCAGTCGCAACTAAAAACCCGCGTGTCGGCAGTGGTTTGCTTCAAGTGCACGACGAGGCGCTTTCCCTTTTCGCACCAGAGACATACAGGAATGCAGCGTTGTTTGCACAAGTGACTGATCACATGAAGCGCCCCATTGGGGTCAAGCCCCTGACTAGTCTAGAGAGACTGACATGATTACCACGTTGTGTCTGGACGATGTTTCCCGGGATGGCGCGGGAGGACATTGACAGTGTTGGTTGGGCCTTGTTCCGACTGCAGACGGCCTCTTGTCAGATTGAAGCCAATCCCTTCTACTGTGGTGACGTCGAACTTGGCAGCCCAGCCCAGTGAGTGAGAATGCATTGAGATCTCGACTTGCACGTGATGGGTCCTATCGGCTAGCTCCGTTTCTGAGAGTGGGTCCTCTATCTCCAGCCCTCACGTCACCTATCTTTTCCTATCGGATTGGTGGTGGTGACAGCTTCGACGTGCACTCTGGCCAGCTCACTTTGGGCAAGCCACATATTCCCTTCCACTTGCGCGCTGCCTGCCTGCATCACGCGCGACTATTCGCCCACACTTGACGCGTGTGCATTTGCCATCTCGCAACGATCCGCCCCGATCCGCCCAAGCGAAAAGCGCCAGCTTCCCGAGCCTCCTCCGCAGCCGCGCGCGCACCTGATCTCGTATCGCCGTTTGGCCACCCGCACGCTAGTCTATCCGTTGCCCGAGTCCCGACGGACGGGAGCCGCCCCATCCGGACACCGGCGCGAGGTTTCTATACCCGCCACGCAGCAGCAGCCATAGCCATGTCCGGTGCGAGGACGAGGCGGCAGGCAGCCATGGAGGCCGGCGGCGGCGACGCAAAGCCGGCGGCGCAAAACGGCCACGACGACGGCGCCGCGCAACGGCAAGACCCCGGCCACAGCGACGACGGCGACGGCGACGGCGACGGTGACGACCTCCCCGACGAGAACATCTTCCTCTTCCTCCCCAACATGATCGGCTACGCGCGCGTGGTGCTGGCCTTTGCGTCGCTCTACTACATGCCGCTGCACCCGCGCACGTGCACGCTGCTGTACAGCGTCTCGTGCCTGCTCGACGCGCTCGACGGCTACGCGGCGCGATACTTTGAGCAGTCGACGCGGTTCGGGGCCGTGCTGGACATGGTGACGGACCGCTGCACCACGGCGTGCCTGCTCGTCTTCCTGAGCTCGGCCTTCCCGCGCTGGGCCATCGTGTTCCAGGGCCTGATCGTGCTCGACATGGCCAGCCACTACACGCACATGTACGCCACGCTGGCCATGGGCGGCTCGGGCGAGAGCCACAAGAACGTGGACCGGTCGCGCAGCCGCATCCTGAACCTGTACTACACCAACCGCACCGTGCTCTTCATCTTTTGCTTCCTGAACGAGGCCTTCTTCATCGCCCTGTACCTCTTGTCATTTTCCAGCCCGCTCCTGTCGCCCAACCTGCTGCACAAGATCCCCAGCGACGCCGCGGCCGAGATCATGAGTGGCAAGCAGGTCGACTCGTCGCTCCTGGGCCAGATCTTTACCAACCCCTACAGCGCCGGTGCGCTCGAGATGGCCCGCGCCAACAAGATGGTAGGTTTTGCTTTGCTGAAAGTACCACCTCTACGCATCATCAATGCTAACCTCGTCGTAACCTCGTCGTTTCACAGGACTCCACCGTCCCATGGATCGTTGCTATCGTCAGCTTTCCCGTCATGTTGGGCAAGCAAATCATCAACGTTGTGCAGTTCGTCAAGGCCAGCAAGTGGCTGGCCGAGGGCGACATTAAGGCCCGGAAAGCACAGGGTCTTCCGCGCAAGAAGAAGATTTGATGTGGGGCTTGATGGGCAGGGCAAGGGAGAGGAGAGGGAGAGAGAGAGAGAGAGAGGAAGGCCATGGGGTCTGATAAATCATGACAAAACGGAGCACGTGAAGGTTCTGATAGAAGAGGGGCGAAGAAGCCTGGTTGCTTTGCTTTGCTGCGATGTGCTTGGTTCGGCGGTCATTTAAAATGCGGAGATATCTCAGCATCGGGTAGCACTGATTTTGCCGGTGTTTGACGGCCACTTTCATAGTTACTATGGATATTATTCGACGGCTTTGGCATAAGGGGCTCGAGAGAGAGACGCGGCGGCGTCGTCCTGGATCACGGCGGTGCATGATTGTCGGGTCAAGAGTTGGGCTGGCGACACGCACGCATAGCCTTGGCAGATGGGTCGACGCCGCGCAGTCGGGTCAACTGAGAGCCGCGGAGCTAGGGTTCTTTGGCGGGGTCGGCTCACTGCCGTGGGCTCTACGTCAGGCTAGGCCAATGCATGCATGCGCCTGTCGAAGGATGTCAGCCATGTATGAGCAGAGCCACGATCAAGATCCTTCGGCAGGGGGCAATGCCGCATATAAGACGGCATGCGGCCGCATGTGCCCTGGCCCGGCCGTCTCGCCAGCGAGATTACACAGTAAGTGTAAGCTGACCAAGCACCAACCCAAGAGTGAAGCGCAGACATGGCAACCGAATCTCAAGCAAACTCGTTATTATCATCACCGCCACCCATCGACCTCCCGGACGAGCAGATCCTGACCCTGCCCGACGGCCGTAAGCTCGCGTACGCCATCTACGGCGACGCGTCGCCCGGCGCGCCCACCGTCTTTTACTTCCACGGATTTCCGGGGTCGCACCGCGAGGCGCTGGGCTACGCGCAGGCGGCGCGGCGGCGCGGCGTGCGCCTCGTGGCGGCGTCG